CAAGTTTTCTCTCCAGTGTGCCCACCCAGGCTGCCTCTCCAATGCCGCATCCTATCGGGACTGTCACCGTGGGTTTAGAAAATAAGTGACACAGTTCAGCTCTCTCTCCCCAGATGAAGAAGATTAAAGTGCCTTTTGCCCAAGTTTAGGGGAAACGGGGGGCGCGTGGGTTCCCCCGGCGCTTGCAGCTTTCAGCTGTCCACGTCTAGAAGGTTCTGCATGCGTGCAGACGCCACATGGGTATCCGGCGGCCGGGCGGGGAGCCTCCCTGCGCTTTCTGCCTATTTGTAGAACTTTTCACGGGGTGTTTCTGGACCGACTTGCTCTCTCAGTGCAGCAAATTTCGTCCAGGGTCGCTCACGGGGGACTCGCGCGGCTCGAGGGTCACCCCACGCGGCGGCCACGGCCGCCAGGGTGGGGTGGGGGCGGGGAGGCGCGGGGCGCGCGTGGGAGGCTCGGGAGGAAAAAGCAAACGCAGAACTCACTCCCCGAGGAACCGAAAAGCACCTGGACGTCCCCTCCGGGGCCGCGGGTGGGGAGGGCAAGGGGGCGGGGGTCGCGACCAGCCGCCCCAGTACTCCGTCCCAGGTCCCTTTCACACGGAACTGGACCACGACCCAGAGAAGTAAGTTGGTGTTTTTGTTGTTGTTGTCGTCCCCCCCCCCCCCCCCCCCGCCCGGAGCCGAGAGCGGATCTCGACTTCCAGAGTGGAAAATCCGAGTCCTCGGGGGCAGTGGGGGCAGGGCGGCCGGGCGGTTCCGGGCCGAGGGTCGCCACCGCCGCCCGCCGACGCGGCGAGCCGGCAGGGCCCGCGCCGCCCCCTCCCCCGCCGCTTCCTCTAGCTCTCCCAGCCCCTTCCCCCACGTGTGGGTGACGTCAAAATTCCGCGAAAAAGCCGCGTGGTGGCTCCCCGGGCGGAGGCGCGATTCCGGGGGCGCCCGGGGCCGGGGGCGCCAGCAGGGCCCGAGGCGGCCGCTGCGCCCCGAGCCAGGCGAGCCCCCCTCCCGCCCCAGATCCCCTCGGAAAATTCACTTTTCTAAAGTAAATGCATTTCCAGAGCTATTTTCGGCCGCGTGAGGCGTGTCCTGAGGCTGAATCAGACAGGAAGAGGGGGAAGTTCGGGTCTTTTTCATTTTTTTTTCCCAAGGGAGGGGAGCGAGCCGCGAGGTGGGTGAACAGACGGCGGGCGCCCGCCTTCGGAACCCACTCCGGCCGCCTCGGCCGCCTCGGGGATCCAGCCCCCGGCCCATCTGCGACCCCCTCCCCCCTTCCAAGGGGCTGCTGGAGTAACCAGGCCGGGCCGCCGCTGCCCCGCGAGGCCCGCAGAGCCTGGGCGCGCGGGGCGGGCCACCCGAAGGTTCCGAAGCGCGCTTGGCCCAGGATGGCACCGCCCGGCCGCGGGGGCTTAGAGGGGCTGCTCCGCTGCCGCCCGGGCTCTCGGGCCCCCGACGTTTCCCTTCTTCTTCCTTCTCGCATTGCTCTACCCTGCCGGTGACCGCCCTGTTGCTCTTCGGGTGCCCGCGTGGACTTGGCCATCAACACCCGTGGGTGGGCTGCAGGACTTGGATTTTCCGAACGTCCATCCCTCCCTGGAGAAACGCGAACGCTTGGAGAGCTGTGGGGAGGTCAACGGCACGCATTCCCGAGCCTGTGCACCGGCCCCTGCCCCCTCGCGTCCCTGCGTGGAGGCTTCGGGGCTCGAACCCGGCTGCTCCCCGGCTTTGTGCGGCCGCGGGATTACCTGGCTGGCAGACACCCGCCAGGTGAGCTCGGGAGGATGTGTGCGTGGCATTGCAGGTTCGTGCAAAAAAAAAAAAAAGTGCTTATAAACACCCAACACCAGGCTGCACCCTACACCTACAGGGTTTTGTACACTTTCCAACCGAAACTCCCCAAACTAGCAGTGGGGGTGGGGTGGGGGTGGGGCGCCGGCCCGGCACGTAATAAAGTCCAATAAAACTTGCGATCGTACAAGTTTATCGCCGATCCTACGAAGGGACAGGATCCCTACCCCACCTTGAGGGGATGAAAAAAGAATAAGGAAGAATCATCACTATCTATTTCTTTTTTCAGGGACTTCCAAGGCACTGAGCCCAGGCGCGTGCGCTTTCTCCAAACCTAAGTCTGAGCGCAAAGAAACCGCGCGCCTCTGCCCAGTGAGGCAACGTGCCTTTTCCCGCGTGCTAGGTGGAAGATGAAGGTTCTGACACGTGGTCGGAGGGGCCACCGAAGGGGCAGCCGCCCGTTTCCAGGGCCAGCGTTCCGGGGACCTGGCTGCCACGCGGTGCTCCCTCACGCCCCACTCCACGTGCTGGGGACCGCAGAGCGGCCGGGACGTGGCGGGGACGGATTCGATGCGAGGGTCACAGTCGGGAACGGGCCGAAATAGGAAGGGGAAGTGAATGGGGGAACTTCCAGAGGCGAGCCTGCCACGCGGGAAGCGCCCGAACCTGCGCGTCGGCATGAATGAAGAAGGCGGCGGGGGAGGGGGCGCCCGCCGGGACCCTCTCCGCCCCTCCTCTCGCCCCCACCCCCTCCCCCAGGAATGTGCCTGTAAAGCTAGACGCCGGTAGGGGGGAGGGGAGGGGAGAGGCGGGGGGCCCCGGCTCGCTCCCCAGACGTGAGGACCCGCCACCCAGGCTCCGGCCTCCGGGTGGGCCAGGCCCGCGGGCGACCACCCGCCTCTTCCCCGCCCCCGCCGCCCGACTTCGCGAGCCGAGCCCGGGATGCTTCGGGCGCTGGGGGGGTGGGGGTGGGGGCCGCCCTCGGTCCGCGGCTGGAAGCGCTCGCCCGCCACGGAGCCTGCGCGCCGAGCGCGGCGCACGCTGCAAACACCTCTGTCGCCCCCGACTTCTCTGCCCTCTCCCCCCGGAGCTTGCTCTGATCCGCTCGGAGGTGGCAGAAGGGAAGTCTGAGTAATCCCTTTATGGGGTCTTAAAATCTAAGCGCGTGAATGTCTTTTCTCCGCGGTGACTCAAACGCTTTGGCCGGGCAGTCCAGGTTGAGTAAAATCAATAGGTGGGGCGCACCGTGCGCGGCCCGGGTGTCATCTGCCGCTCGGCGCTGTTTCACTTTGAGTTGCTAACTTGGGTTGCTCAGGGAGCGCTTTCTCTTCCCGAAAGCTAATGGCTTCCACGGCAATTAGGCATTTTCCTCGCCTGCCCCCTCGCCTCCCCTTTTCTTTCCTTACAGGAGATGGGGTGCCTCATTCCCGTGGCCGTAGATCTGGTCGGAGGCGCCCGGGCCCCTCCTCGGCCTCCGCCCGCCCCGGTCCCTGCTCTCCCTCCGCCCTCCCCTGGCTTCCTTTTGATGTAGCGGGGAACGTTCCCGTAAATAAACAAGAAATGTATCGCCCGGTACATCAGCGCGCAGTAGCAGGAGCCCCAGAGCTATTGGCTATGCAAATAGAGGGAGGGGAGACGGCGCCCCAAACTCTTACTCACCCTTTTAAAGCGATATCCCCCTCCCCCCCAGCCACCCCTTCCGCCCCACCCTCGTTTAAAGGGGCTGCCTCCGGGGCCCGAGTGCGGCGCGTGCACCTCTGGTTCCCTCGCTCCCCCGCCGCCGTGCTGGGAACCCAGTGAACAGCTCACCCAGCCCGGCCTCCACCCCCCCCTCCCCGCTCCCCGCGGCTCTCCGCGCCCCTGCTTGGGCCCCCTTTCTCGGAGCGGCGGGCAGTGGCGCAGCCTCGCCGTGCCCGGGTTGCCCCGTCCCACGCCACGCTCGGTGCACGTGCCAGCTGGGCCTCGGCGCTGGGGGCGCCCAACGCGCGCCCCTTCTCTACCCCCCACCCCGTAAAATGCACCGAAAAGACAGGCTGTGGCGGGGGTGGCGGGAGGAAGGAGGCGAGGAAACGCCACCGTGTCCCCGGGAGAAACAGCCTTGACCCCAGGATGCGTTCGAGCACGTGTCAGGGCTGACCGCGCTGGCAGCGTCTCCATCCGGAGAAAGCCCTGGCCCGCGAGAGAGGCGCGGACCCGGAGGGGTCGCTGAGGATGCGGGCGAAGGACCCACGCAGGGAGGCAGCATGGGGCCTCCGGGGAAAGGTGTCGGCGGAGGGGGGAGCCCGAGCGTGTCCCTCCCTCGCCCCCTCCCCCCGGGCTATTTCCTAGAAAGTGGTATCAGCGCGGCCACGCTCTCGCACACACCTCGGGCGGCTTGTGGGCAGATGCCGGGGCGAGGAAGCGGGTTTTTTTTTCCTGCGTGGCCGCCGGCCGCCCAGAAACCGCTGGCGGCCCTGCTCACGGCCCCTCGCACCCGGGGCGCTGCGCCGTGTGGCCAGTGGCACCCGCAGCGCCCCCAAGAGCATCCTGCCTTCAACTTGAGGGTCGTAGTCGCTATCCAACCAGAAAAGCGGCCCCCTCCGTCCTAACACCCACTCTTTCCTCTTCTTCCTCTCCACAGACAGCTGCAAGGGGGTAGTGGGGGGTGGGGGTGGGCGACGTTGCTCCGGTCCCTTTAATTAGGCTTTTGCAACAGCTTCCAGGTTATCAGGAGCATAAACTTGAGGGACATAACCTTCACCTCCGGCTATGCGAGGTTGCTGTTTTCTAAGTCCCCTCACCTAAAGGGTCTTTCTCAATTGAGCCCACCCACCCTCCGCCATCTGCCCTCCATTCCTGGGGCTGGAAGACGTGGGCAGAAATATTAGCATCAATTTCGCGGAAAGCACGGTTGGAGGGTAGTCTTTGGATGCGACGCGCCCACGGAGTGTGCAGAATCAGAGCGAGGAGAGAGGAGTCGGTGGGTTTCCGTGGGTCCCCCTCTCCGGGGCCCCCGACTCGCTCGCGGATGCAGCGAGAGGGCCTCGGAGCAGGGTGGGGTGGGGGGGCGGGGGCCGCGTTTGAAGTTGGGTCGGGCCAGCTGCCGTTCTCCTTAATAACAAGAGGGGAAGGGAGGAGGGAGAGGTTGAAAGGAGGAGAGGAGGGGCGGGAGGGGAGGGAAGGGGAGGAGGAACCCGAGAGGGGAGCGAGGAGAGGGAGGAGAACCAACTGCCCAGCCAGCTTGCGTCACTGCCTCTGAGGCGAAGAGAGCGAGCTGGAGAGAGCGAGACAAGTTTGAGGGGAGGACGGGTGCGAGGCAGGCAGCCCCCGAGGCTCTGCTCGCCCACCGCCCAGCCCTTCCTCTCGGCTCCTCCGCTTCTCCCTCTGCCCTCGGCTCGCCCCCCGAAAACTCCCTATTTAGCCAAAGGAAGGAGGTAAGGGGAACTCTCTCCCCTCCCCCTCCAAAAAAAAAAAAAAAACCTAACTTTTGCAGTCCGGAGAAGGCAGGGGAACGAAGGGTCGCCCGGCTGGCCATGGAGCTGCTGTGCTGCGAGGTGGACCCGGTCCGCAGGGCCGTGCCGGACCGCAACCTGCTGGACGACCGCGTCCTGCAGAACTTGCTCACCATCGAGGAACGCTACCTTCCCCAGTGCTCCTACTTCAAGTGCGTGCAGAAGGACATCCAGCCCTACATGCGCAGGATGGTGGCCACCTGGATGCTGGAGGTAGGGCTGCCAGGGGCCCCCCACGCTCGGACCCTAAGTCTGAAAGAGGGCCACCCTGGCGCTGGCCTCCCAGCTCGGCTGCGCGAGGGTGTCCCGCGCCCCTGGGCGAGACGCGTGGCCGCATTTCTGTTCCCGGTCCCGGGGAGTGGGGGGGGGCGAGGAGGGAGAGGAAAATCTGGGAGAAACGCGGCTGGCCCGGGGTGGGGGGGGGGGGGGAGCATCCCGCGCGCGTGCTGCGTGCATGTGGCTTCCTCGGCGCCCCCCTCCCCCGCCGACCTGTCTTTCTCGAAGCAATGGCAAGGAAGGGAGTGGGAGCTTGAAACGGGGACCCCGGGTCCGAAAGCAGCCCCCCGACCCCCGCCAAGGCAGGAGCCCGTTCGCCCTAGCCTCAGGTCCCCGCGTGTGGTCGCGACTCCGCGTTGGCACTTCGGGGGGGAGGGGGAGGAAGGAGGAGGAGGGGGAAGGAGAGAAACGGGGAGTTCGGGAGCCCCGGAAGTCGCCCTGGAAAAGCGTGTGTTTTAGGGGAACCCAAAAAGAACCACTTCTTTCGCCTCGCTGCAAGTCTGCGTCTTGCGAGCCCCGTGCCCACGTATGCACGGCTCTGGACCTGCCGTGGTTTCGCCATGTTGCTTTCCAGACTCGGGCTGCTGAGCCCGGGAACCGCCGCCCGCGCCCCCGCGCACCCCCAGACCGCGGCAGGCCCTCGCGGCCGTGCCCGTGCCCCCGACCCCCGCCTCGGGGAGGTTACTTACAGTTTGGCTTCCCAGCTTCCTCGCTGCGGAGGCTTGGGCGGGGTAGGGTCGGGGGGAGGAGGAGGAGGAGGAGGTGTGTGTGTGTGTGTGTGTGTCCTTGAGGCGGAATGCGGGGCGCCCCTCGGCTGGCAGCCGGAGCCCCCCGGGCCCCGGTCCTTGCCCGGTGGTCACCACGTCCCCAGCTCTGCGCCTGTGGGCCGCCGCCGGACACTCCCGCCGCGGCTCTCAGCCGCTGCGAGTTTCCCCCGCGGGATCCGCAGCCCCGGGGGTCGAGATGCAGCCCGCTGCAGCCCCCGAAACCCGCGTGCCAGGGAGCCTGGATCCTCTGGGGGGTTTTCACGCCAAAAGGGCTTTGCTGGGGTATTTCCTCGATTTTTAATTATTTTTTGAAGGCGTGCCCCCCTGCTCCGAGCGCCGGCGCCGCGGCTCTTCCTCCTCTACACCCTCCCCCTCTCTCCCCAACTCTCCCCACCCACCCCCCCATTAGCGGCCCCTGGGCAGCCCGGACCCCCTCGGGCATTTTTTTCAATTGTCGGGAATGGTAGAGCAGGGTCTGGGCATCCGGATGGGGCCAAGAAGTAGACCCCCGGAGGCTCCAGAATATTTTTATTGATTTTTTGAAAAGATGACGAAATCCAAAAAAGAGAGTGAGTGAGTTCCGAGTGCGCAGAGAAGGGAGCGGCGGCCGCCGCGCGCGCCCGCGGCCCCGCTCCCAGCTGCCAGCGACCGCGCGCCCCGGGCTGCGGACACTTGCCTCAGTTTCCCCAGCGTTAGTACCCTCCCTCTTCCCGCAAGAAAAAAAAAAAAAACTTTGCAGAAATGAACTTTTTCTTTCTGCTTCTCTCTCTCTCCCTCCCTCCCTCTGTGGACACTGTCCTGTGTGTCGCCCACCCCTGTTGTGCGTGCCCACCGCAGGTCTGTGAGGAACAGAAGTGTGAGGAGGAGGTCTTCCCGCTGGCCATGAACTACCTGGACCGCTTCCTGGCCGGGGTGCCGACCCCCAAGACCCATCTGCAGCTGCTGGGGGCCGTGTGCATGTTTCTGGCCTCCAAGCTGAAAGAGACCATCCCGCTGACGGCCGAGAAGCTGTGCATCTACACGGACAACTCCATCAAGCCCCAGGAGCTGCTGGTAACGCAGCCCCTCCCGCCACGTGCCCCCTGTCTTGGGAGCCAGAGCCCTGCCCCAGCTCACGGGGCCACCCTCAGCGGCACCCCATGCTCAGAATCCCAGGCTGTCGCCTTCTGTGTCCCTACTGTGTGCCTGGCACGTACTGAGCCCTCAGCCTCTGCCCACAGAGCTGTGTGTGGGCTCGCATGCTACCTTCTCCGTGTGTAGGACACTTTAATGAAGAAATAATATTCTAATTCCAACTCCTCAAACATTGACCTCTGGGAAACATAGGCTGTTTTCCTCACATCAGTGGGGGCTGTGTGCAGGAGATAGGAATGTGCCATGGTGTGGCTGGAGTTCAAAGGTAACGTCCTATACATCGATACTGTTCTCCACACAGAGCAGCCCTTCACGAAATACCAGCTCATTTAACCTGGAGCACAGCCAGAGCTCGGCCCTGGGCTGGAGGGGGCCAGGGGGAAGGTGACCTCCATGCAACCCCAGGGGTCCTGTCTTGCCTGGGGCACCCTTTTGCCCACCCTGGAGCATGCTTCTCAGACCTGCCCTACTGCAGGGGCTGCGCTGGCACGGTGCAGGGCTCTGAGGCCCCCCCCCACTTACAGGGGCTTGCGCACCTTTCTCTGCACTGTTTGCAGAAGCGCCCCCTCCCCCTGCCCTGCCTGCCCTGGCTCCCGCAGCCCACTGGCCTGGCCTGCCTGCAGTGCACAGGGCCCAGGCCGGCTGCGTGAACTGAGCTCTTTGTGAGCCTCTGTCTTCCTGGGGCTGTGCTGACACCTAGTGGCAGACACGCGCAAGGCTGGGGGAGCAGTTCCCGAGAATGCACAGAGGGGCATGAATGACTTCACCTTTGAACCGCTGCCAGATTTCAGCTGCTTCTGGTTTGGTCCGGGAGGCCCAGAAAGGTGCTTTCTGCTGGGAGATCTGCTTCCTTTAATCATGGTGCCAGACCCGCGGTTTGTACTCACATTCCCCTGTGAGCAGGAAGGGCCAGGGTTTCGAGCCGTCTTTGAAGACGGCAGTGGTGTTAGCCCTCTGCTGCGGGCTCCAGCCCCAGCCCTTTGCAGAAAGCCCAGGCTGAAAACAAAAGCTTGCGAAGAAAAAAAAAAATCGTGAGAATTGAAATCCGGTTTGTTTTTCCGTCCAGGAGAGCAGGAAAAATAATCTTCCATTTGTTTCAGTGTGGTGCCAGATGAAATGACATCACAGCAAGCAAAAACCTGCTTTTTCCCCATTGCCTGTCTGTGCCAGAAGTCGGGAATCAGAAAAAGAGTCCTCCTATTGTCCACGCAGTGCTGAGGCCCAGAGAAGGAAAGGGGGTAGCCCCAAGCCGCTCAGCACCACCCGTGCTGCAGGCCTGGCGCTCTGCTTGCTGGCCCAGCATCTGGCCCCGGCTTTGCAAATGCAAGAGATTCTGGGTTTTTCAGTGGAGAGTCAGTCTCCCGGGCTCCTGTTCTGCAGAGGACTTGTTGATGGTATTTCCCCTCGGGTTGCACATTTTTTAAAAGCTTTTTTCTTCGGCCTGTTTGCCTTGGAGCACAATTTCCTATAGGTATTGCTGTAATAAAAGGGTGAAGGCACTGTCTTTGTGCTGGCTGGGCCACTGGGGAGGGACCCAGCAGATACAAGGCTGTAGGCTGAGGGGTCCTGTGTCACTTCCGTACAATGGGGTTGCGAGTGCCCGTTACAGCAAAGAACTGGGAAGCCTTGAGTCCGAAGCTCAGAGCAGCCGACCCCCAGGACTTCTGCACGGTGTGTCAAAGGGGAGACGCTTTAACAGCGGCGAGAAAAATGGCACTTTGGCACTAAGAGAAAGCCGGCGAATTGGTTGCCGAGGAGTTGGGCCAAGCAGTGTTATGTGCATGCCTCGTTTTTTTCCACTAGGCTAAAAAAGACGATTAAGCCCGCGATAGAAACGTATACAATAAATTACTAGCAGAGGGCCGCCGCGACCTTGGCTGGCTGTGGATCTTCCTGTCGGCCTGGCTCTCAGGGCGGTCAGGCGGCAGCCCTGCTCCGTCTGGGTGAGGGTGGAGAAGAAAGAACATGGCACCCTGAGTTAGGGAGCCCTCCTGGGTGACCGGTGTGGGTGCCTCCCCGCCCCCCCCCCAACACTCTGCCTCTCTTCCTGCTTTCCTCCCCAGGAGTGGGAGCTGGTGGTGCTGGGGAAGTTGAAGTGGAACCTGGCCGCCGTCACCCCTCACGACTTCATCGAGCACATCCTGCGCAAGCTGCCGCAGCAGAGGGAGAAGCTGTCTCTGATCCGCAAGCATGCGCAGACCTTCATTGCTCTCTGCGCCACCGGTGAGAGCGGGGGCAGGTGGGGGGAGGGGGAGAAATGGGGGAGGGGCGCCCGGGGGGTCTGGGGTCGCATTCCTGCGTTTGGAGCTGCTCCATTCTCTTTGCTTGGCTGAGCTCATAAATGGTTTATGAGGACAGGTGTGGTGAGGGGAGAAAAATGAGTACCTGTTAACATACCCTTTATGATGTCTAAAGTGCTCTTTGAAGCTTAGCTGTACTGCTCACTCGGTGGGGCTCAAATCTTTAATCTTGCGAGGAAAAGGATGGCTTGGAGATAAGCCCAAGAGGAAATTTGTTTGGGGCGGGAGCACAAACACAGGTCCCCAGGAACAATGTCAAGGTGAACACGCCTGGCTACGGTAAGTGGGGGGGAGAGGGGAGGCCAGAGGCATTTAGTGCCTTGTCTCTGTCCAGGCTGCGGGAGGGAGTGAACTTGCCCAGAGCTCTGGGTTCTGCCGCCCTCACAGCACCACGTGGCTTTGTTGTGATTTGGGCTGTGGCCTTGAACACGACAGCGGCAGGTGGCATTTTGCGTCCCTCACCAGAGAGAGCCAGCACTTGACGCACAGTTCTGCCTGGCCCGTTTGCATTTTCCAAATAAACTAAAGGAGTTGGTTTGATGTTGTCTCACTGGACTGAACCATGGCCAGCTTTTTTTTTTTTTTTTTTTTTAATTTTTTTTTTCCTTGGTGGTGGTAAGGGTAGAGGTGTCAGGAGTTCATGCTGGCACAGTCAGAAACCTTAAGGAGCCCCCATAGTCAAGTGTAGCTGAATTGTATAGGCACATCGGGGAGTTAACTTCTTCAACCTTGTTACATGCTGCCCAGGAGTTAGCATGGAGATTATATAATGTCTAAGAGTGTGTGTGCTTTTTGTTGGCAGTCAAAAGGTCAGGCATTGCTACTTCTCACTCAGTGACCTGGGAGAGTCTGCTTGACCCCTTTGAACCCCAGCTGCACCTGCAGAACCCAGCGTGGATACATTTGCCCCACACACAGCTCTTGCCCCGGGGTCAGGAAAACTGTTGCCACTGACCTGGACTCCAGGGCTTCATGCTTGCAACGCCTCTCCTCCGCCCAGTGGGACCCAGGCTCCGGAGGCTGGGGCCCTCCTTGCTGGCTTTTCTCAGCCCCGCCCCTGCAGAGCTCCCAGGTCCCCAGGCTTGCACAGGGTGCACAGGGGCAGGGCACTGCCCTTCCTGGGCCCCCCAGGGCCAGGCCTCCGGAGCCCTGTGCACTCTGACTGCCTGCTGGACAGAAGCCATTCTTCGCCTCCTTCCCTTCTGCTGTCTGGCCTGGGCAGCTAGAGGTCAGACCCTGGGTGACCTGTCATTGTCTCCCAGGCTAAGCTGTCTCTTTTTCACTGGGGGGGAGGGGTCAGCCAGTCCTTTTCCCCTGGCCTGTCGGCTGCCGACCTCCGGCCCTGAGCTCTTTCAGTGCCCAGCTGTTGATAGGCAGAGTTCTGCTGTGACCTTGTCTGTTGACGGACAAGATCTTCTAGGTTAGGGGTCTGTCCGCTCCGGCCTCCTCTCTGATCTCGGACCGGGGCGGGGTGCTGGGTGGAATTACCAGGCCTGGGCAGGTCCCCAGAGTCTGTATGGGCCCATTCTCTGAAGTTGGGGATCCCATCCCCCACCCATGGCCTTCTTGCCCAGATCCTTGGGGTGGCTGCCAACTCTGGGGCCGGAATAGGGAGCCTGGGATTCAGAGACTCAGAACAGAGCCCAAAGGGAGGCAGAGGCAGTCAGACAGGCGCTGCCTCTCCGGGGGTGCTGGCGGGGGCGGGGGCGGGGTGCCTGGAGTGGGGCAGGATAGGGGGAAGAACACCTCCCACCCAGTGGAAACCCGGTGCCAGGCCCTAAGCTCCAGGCACCGAGGGGTCGGAGCAGAGGGGCTCTCTGGAGGCTCCTGGCTCCTGAGAGGGTGGACTGAGCTCCTAAGGCTTAACCTTCCCCATGTGCCCCCCGGGGCTGTGCACTGTGCACAGCCTAGAGATGGGAGGCATGTGGCCGGACAGCACCAGTGCCCAGCGCTGCTTCTCCTGGGGAAAACTCCTTCTGGGGAGGCGAGAATCTGCATTCTAAGGCCAGAGCAGGGCAAATGGGTGCGTCTCCAGCACTGGGTCGGGCCAGGGGCAAGGAGCAGGTGCCAGGGGGGTAGAGCCTGGGGGGTAGGGCTCCCCTGAGCCTGCTGTACTCCGCCTGCTCCTTACACACCCCAGCTTCTGCCCCAGAGCTGATGGAGCACCTGCAGCCTGGGGCTTGGAGTCAGGGGCAGAGGGGAGATTCCGGAAGGGACTGTGTGGCCAGTTCGTGGAGAAAGAGGGTTGTGAAAGAGCTGGCGGTGGCTGTGTGGGGAGTGGGGAGCGGATGTGTGTGTGAAAGGGGAAGAAGGGAGCGGGAAGGGCTGTGGGGCTGTGGGGTAGGACGGTAGCCAGAGAGAGCGGTGCCCCCTCCCCACTCCCTTCAGTGGCTTGAGCTGGGGGAGGAACAGGACTGCCTCAAGTTGTCCGCCATCAGTGCAGGCATTGGGGTGGGGGTGCGGGGACCTCACACGACAGCTCCCCGCATGCCCTTCCCCTGGGCTTTTGGTGCTGGGGAGCCAGCCCAAGCCGTGCCCCACCCCCAGTTGCAGCTCTGCTGCTCGGAGCCCCCAGGTCTGCCCAGGAGATGAGTCAGGATCTCACCCCAGTGTTGGGAGCCTTGAGACATGATGTCATGCTCGGACAGGCGATTGCAGTTAGTCCAGGAGAGCCAATGGCGTTGGCAGGACGGGGGCTCCCCCTCCCTCCCCGGGCTCTCTTGGGGTGCAGCCTCCGGTAGCACCCCTCCCCGTGTCTGAGCCCCTGTGAGGGTGACCCCGCGCTTTCCCAGCCCCTCCCTGTCTTAAGGCAAGGTGCCTCACTGGTTTACCACCCATGGCCAGAGAGGTCAGAAGCCTTGCCCTTGACCCAGGATGGGAGGTCAACCTTGGTGGTGGTGGGAAGGGCACCTTTCCATCTGTGAGCCCCTGAGCAGACTGGTCCTGGGACTGAGGGACATGCGTGCAGCCCTGGGGACAGGTGCCAGAGCCGGCTGCTGCTCCTCTCTCCTAGGCCTCTATAGCTGGATCAGTGTGCCCGGGCACTCTGTGTGCCAAACCTGCCCTGGGGGTGGCAGTGAGGTGCGCGCTCAGTGACGCCATTGGCATCATTTGGTGGCCCAGTTCTGGTCCTTGAAACCTCCACCAGACTGCGATTGGAGGAGGAGAGGGGGGAAAAGGCTGACCTGGGCTTCCCCCTCCCGTTCAGCCTTAGAGCAGACAGCGTGCTCGCTCTCCCCCTAGTGGCGAACAAGAGCAGAGCAGCCCTCCCCGCGCTGGGAGGCCCTGGTAACCACGTGCAACCCTTAGTTCTCAACCCATTGAGTTCCGGATGCTGTCAGCAGGAAGCGAATACAGTAAGCTGTATACAGTGAGCACCTCTCAGCTTAGGGGGACCACGGGACCCTCAGGGTGCATCCTCAGGGAGTTATCCCCCCGGCACGGAGCAACTGCTGACCTGTGAGAGCAGCCGGCTTTCCCTGGGGCCTATGGCGGTGGCCGTAGAGAGCTCTGGGCCCAGGGTCCGAAGTCTGCCTCTGCGGGTGACGCTGGGCAAATCGCTTGACTTAACCCTTGAAGATTTCATCGGGTCACCTGTGAAAGGAGATGCTCGAGGGAGAGGCATAGCAAGCCCCTTACACTCAGAATTCACTGGAGTCCAGCGGGGACACTCGTGAGGGTGGCCCGGAGGGGGGTGGCAGCCTGGGGACTGTGCTCATGTGTGCACTATCTTAGTTACTCCTGAGGACGATGCTGTGAGATAAATACATTGACATCCTTATCTGCAGGTGAGGAGACTTCTTAGTGCCCTGGCCAGCTGTCGTCTGCAAGACGCGTCCTGTTGGATAGATTGGGGTTTCAGCCTGGAGGAGACTGGGGGCTTTGCCAGGCACGGCGCCCTGCGTTTTCAGGGGTCTCCTCTGTGCTGTCAGACAGGGAGGAGCACCGTGCATTGGTTTGGTTGGACAGTGGCCCCAGCAGGACCACACGCACACGCGCATACACACTGCCTCAGCATCTTCTCCATGAAGCAAGGAGGGAGGTAGAGGCCCCCCGTGCACTGTTCCACCCCGGCACAGACCACCCACACCCGCAGCCTTCTCGGCGCTGATTCACACACCAGAAGTAAGAGTGGGTTTCGCCAGCCCCGAGACCACAAAGATGGGCGAGGCTGAGGTGTGCTTCCTGGGCCAAGGCCTGTGGCAGAGGGGAGGGGAGCCGGGGAGCCTTGCCTGCCCCTTCCTTGCCAGATGCTCCCAGGCAGGGTTTTCGTGGGCCCAGGGCCATGGGCTGGCTGCCTGCTTGTGTTATGAATGTCACAGGGGGAGCTAACGAGGTTATTGGGCAGAGGCGCGCTCTCCTGTGACCCATGTGGAAAGGACCTACAGCAGAGCAGGGGGCAGGGAGCCTGGCATTGTCACACCCCCTGCCCCGGGGACAGGAGCTGGTGACAGTCAGCAGGCTTTGGGTGCCACACGTTCAGCCCTAATGGGGTGGAAACGGTGACTGGGCAAAGCGGAGAACGCCAAGGAGACAGACAGATGGACAGATGGCCGGGCTGGCTCTGTGTTCCTGATTCAGTGAAAGGAGAGGGGAGGCAGGTGCACGGTTCAGTGGTCTCCAGTGCTTCTGAGAAGCCCGCCAGCATGGTGCTGGGGCATTGGGCTCCGGCTTGCCATTAAAAGGATGGCTCCCTTCGAAACACTTTTTTTTTTTTTTTTAAACAGAGCAGTGTTTGGGAAGGACAGGAGATGGCAAGGTGAGCTGGCTGAGGGCAGTAGGTTCAACCTGATCATTTCTGCTCTGATTTGAAGTGTGACCCCTCCCCCAACACGCACCTTGTGCTGCTAAGTAGGATCAGCTCACGGGAGCCTTGCTGGAGACAGCACTGCGTGGGTTTTGGATTCGCTGCCCTCTGGGACTGTGGCGAGGAGGAGCCACGAGACTGTCGCTTCTTTCATGGGTGGGGACTAAGCAGCTTGCATTCCCAAGTCGGGGGTTTTCACGTGCTCGCGTGCGCCGTCCACGGTTGGTGTGTGAGTTAGACGGGCTGTGAGGCGCGTGGGCGGCAGGAGCCCGACGAAGCTGTGGCGGTGGTTATCTCCCCTTGACGGGAGGGCTCTTCCAGCCGAGCGCTGTGCCCCTGTGAGGTGTCCGTGTGTCTGCTCCTTGAGGAACGGGAGCAGGTTGGTCAGGACGCAGCGATCGGTCCTTGTCACGCGAGGAAGGTCCTGCCCTCTCCCCTGGCGCTGTGAGACCCCAGGAGTGGGGAGCCGAGTGAAAGTCAACCCACAGCGTCCATCCTTCGTTTCCTTTGTGGAATAAAAACACTTGGTTGTGCTTGTTGTTTTGGGCCATGAGGGATTTGATGCCCATCAGGAGACTCTAGAGAGCGTGTTTGCAGCTTCCCTTTCCTCCCTTCACTGGGCTGATCACATCTGCTGCTACTTCTTTCGCTCCCTCCAGCATCTGAACTGTGGGTTTTCCCCACTTACGTGGCGCATTCGGTGTCTTTCCTGTCCTGGCCTCGGACTTCCCTCTGTGCCCGCCTTCACCCCCAGAGAGACAACCCTGCTGCCCCACACACCGGGGCCAGACCTGGTACTGTGCACCTGCTGACGGCTCATGTGCTTCCCATGGGACTTGGAGGGTCGAGATCCGGAGTCCTCTCTGACCCACCGTGTGCACCCAAATAAGCACTCTTTCTGCCCTGCCTCAGTCTCCTTGCTTGAATCTGGCATGGCCACGGTGAAGGAAGGCCTCAAAGGAAAGCGTGCGCTCAGGGCACGGTGTCCCACTGCCGCCATCTTGCTGCAGGTTGGGGAGCTCCTGGAGCCAAGTTCATTCTGTGTCCTGACCTTCTGCCTCGCATTCCTTGCAGACTTCAAGTTCGCCATGTACCCGCCGTCCATGATCGCGACTGGAAGCGTGGGGGCAGCCATCTGCGGGCTCCAGCAGGACGAAGAAGTGAGCTCGCTCACTTGCGATGCCCTGACCGAGCTGCTGGCCAAGATCACCAACACGGACGTGGTAGGTGGCCGTCGCCGGCTTGGTCGAAACCAGATGTCCGTTCCCAGCTCGGGAAGAGTGCATTGGCTTGATGACGATGTCTCTGGGGCGTTGTGTGTGTGTGTGTGTGTGTGTGATAAAGCCAACATCCAGGTAGTACCCAATGCAGCAGGTGGAGGCTCCTGTTCAGGTTCAGAAAGCCTGTCCACCACGGAGCACAGGGAAGAACTCTGCAGCGAGGCTGGGGTGATGGGAAGACGACTGTGTGGGCCCCCAGCGTGCCTGCTTTCCAAGACCCGGGATTCAGCATTCATTTTTTAACTAAAAACCGAGCGTGAGCGTGGTTATTGGGATATAAGGTGCATGCCACTGTTCACCTAAAAATTTGAGACCTCAGTAAGTCCAGGCTGGCCACAGGTACCCTCAGAGGCTTGTTTACTCCTCTTGAGTGTATTTCTTTCAATTTTGTCTATAATGTTTTTTTTTTATTTCATTTATTTGAGAGACAGTGTGAGTTCCCATCTTCTGGTTCACTCTGCAAATCCACATCAGCCAGGGCCTGGCTGGACCTGTGACCAGAAACACGATCCAGGTCCTCTACGTGGGTGGCAGGGACGCAGCTACTTGAGCCATGGAGCTGGGGCTCAGACCCTGGTCTGCCCTGACGCTGTGCTTTGTGGGAAGGCTTGGGCGGCTCTGGGCCTGGCTGGGTGCCGTGTACCTGCCCAAGGGGCTCAGCCTCCTCCCATTCAGAAGAGCATAAAAGGACCATCGTTGAGGGTGCAGTAGCACTTGGCGGGAGGCGAGGTGTGTCTCCGGGCTCACTTGCTCCGCATTCATTTCTGCGAGGTGTACTGCGGTTGGCGCAGCCTGCTGCACTGGGAGGTGGAGGGATGAGCAAGGCACAGTCCCCAGGTGCTGCAAGGCGGGGTGGGCGGGCCCGGGAAATAGGTGAGGGTTCTACCTTCAGCGAACATACAGGAGTCAAGCGTGAAACATGCAGAACCCCAGCACAGTAAGATCCTGGGCGACTGCGTGCTCAGTGCCGTGTGACTGATGGGTTAGAAACGCAGTGGGCAGATCGACATACGAGGCCGGCCTCCCAGGCGCAGAAGATGGGCTTGGAGTGGAGTGGCAGAACGCAGTCCCTGCGTGCTGCGGGGTGTTCTTCAGCCTTAGAAAGGAAGGGAATCCCAAAACCGGCACAGATGGGTCTCGCCCACAGGACGGTGGGTGAGGTCAGGCAGAGCAGAATGGAGCGCGCCAGGCCCCAGAGAGTTGGAGCCTCAGATGGCTGATGAAGTTCAGAGATGGAGCAGTAGCTGTGCCGACTGTGTACGTGCTTACTGCCACTGTGCGTTTAAAACCGGTTAAGTCGCCGGTGCCGCGGCTCACTAGGCTAATCCTCCGCCTTGCGGCGCTGGCACACCGGGTTCTAGTCCTGGTCGGGGCACCAGATTCTGTCCCGGTTGCCCCTCTTCCAGGCCAGCTCTCTGCTGTGACCCGGGAGTGCAGTGGAGGATGGCCCAAGTGCTTGGACCCTGCACCCCATGGGAAACCAGGATAAGTACCTGGCTCCTGCCATCGGATCAGCGTGGTGCGATGGCCGCTGCACGCCGGCCACGGCGACCATTGGAGGGTGAACCAACGGCAAAAGGAAGACCTTTCTCTCTGTCTCTCTCTGTCACTGTCCACTCTGCCTGTCCAAAAAAAAAAAAAAACAGACAGGTTAAGTGGTACATTTTACTCTAACAAGAGGTTACACACACATGCACATGTGGCTATGTGTGCGTGTGCACCTGTGTGTGCATGAACGTGTATAAAGCCCTGGCCATGCCTGTGCTGAGCTGTCCTTTGCCAGGGTGTTTTGTCCCCTGGCCCTGGTGCACAGGTGGAAAGGTTAGCAGAAGGAGCCGACGACTGAGGTCCCCGCTTGTCCTGTCGCTGACATCTCTTCGGCCACTTTGGGCAACAGACAGGTTGGGGACTTGCAGGATTCAGCCGTCCAGAGAGCGTCCCCTGTGGTGGCCCGAGATGGCCGGACGAGCGTCTCTGGCTCACGGGCCGGCGGCAGATAGCCCTTGACGGGAGGGCCGCGGGCAGCTCTGAGAAACTCGCTCTCCGTTGCTCCGTCCGGTTGCCAAAACAAACCGGAATGCTTCATTCCAAAGAGAAAGCTGAGTGAGAAGCGCGACAGTTTTACGGGGAATAAAAGTCTCCGAGGGTGGTATATTTTAAGTACTTTTTCCTTCCAGCTATAAGAGTTGCTAAAAACAGACAGCAGCCAGAGAGGCAGCTCCGGCTTTCGGGGGTGGGAACTTGTCCCCGGCTTCCGTTGCCAGGGGTGGGTTGGAGAGGAGGGACCGGTCCCCAGGTCCCTGGTGAACCTTGCCCGCTTCCTCAGGCAGCACCGGGTTCTTCTTCCCATCCGCTCCTGCTCGGTGCCAGCGTCCATCTCCCTGTCCGCTTGTCTACAGAACCTCTTGAACGAGGCCCAGCTTTGACTTAGTTCTTTATCCAGCGCCCCTGGCAGAGTCCCTGGGCAGTGACGCCGAGGAGAGGGAGGGAGGAAGGAAGGAACAGAGGCCAAGGGCAGGCAGAGGGGCTTCCAAGTACGTTGCGCGCTCCTCCGGCTCCTGGGTCTTTGCAGAGCTGTGCAGGTGTGCAGGTGCATGGCTGCACCTCCCAGGCCTCTGCGCCACACCGGACTTCATCTTGGAGCCGCCCCGAATTTTCACACAACATTGCTTTCCTGACTGAGGTGCTGAGCCGTCGGGTCCTGCTGTGCTCTTCTGTCTGGGTCCCACGCCTCTGGCGTGTCCCACAGGAGCTTCCTGGGTGTCCCTTCCTCAGGGCCACCCTGGCTTGTGAGCAAGCTGTCAGCAGAGCAGGGGAGCAAGCCGGGGTTTTGAGCACGTGCTGGCCCTGCGTGGTCTTGTCCTCCTCCTTAGCTGGGCACACCTTGGCCTTGAGGCACCTGTTGCTGATTCTGCCTTTGGTGGCCTTCCCAGGGCCTGTGGTCAGCAGCCGTGTGGGGGCTTTCTGGGAGGGAAGCTGGGGGTGAGGAGGTGGGGCAGGGCTGGGGGGTAGAGGGGCTGGTTCTTCCTCTCCTGGAAGCAGGGGGTGGGGAGGTGGGACAGGGCCGGGGGGCTGACGTCTCCCTCTCCTGCCTCGTTTTTTTCTGCGGGCCTCATTGGGTATGCAAGGAAATCAGCCGAGCCGCCTGCGAAGAGAGGAAGAATGAGATAGTTTCCTAAGTCGTCTCCGCTGGAGTTGGCCGCGGGTCTGGGGCTCATTCAGCCTTTTGTGCCCCTGTTGAGTGCAGTGCGTGTGTGGTGACAGTGGAGTGATGCAGTCACACTGCGGGCGAATGGTAGGAGTTCCGTCCGCCCATTCATGGAGGCAGAGGAGGGTGCAGGGCGCCGAGCCCGAGCCAGCACGCAGAGGAAGTCAGGGGCCCACCGGGGATCACAGACACTCTGTCAGGGCTCCGAGGCTGGGGGGTGGGGGCCGGGGGCCGGGCGTCGGGGGAGCTGGAGGCCTGCCGACCTCCAGCGCTTTGGAGTGCCACCTGTCCGGGCTGACAGACGAGCCTTACGGCTTTCCTTTTAATCAGCTTAACGTCGGGCGGGCATCTCGGTGCAGGGGCTGGTGCTCTCCCCTGCGCAGGGCCCACTGTCCTTTGCTGCAGCCGCCTGGGCTGTGTCTCCCTCCCCTGCGGGCGCTGCGGCCTGTACGCCTTTACTCAGAGCCCGGGGGAAGCAGAGGTGCGCAGGGAGGAGGTATGGGGTGGGACCTGCTGAAAGCCGGGCTCAGTTTTCATTGAATTTGATGTCATGGCACGGCTGGCTGCTTGAGGTCCCCAGGCTGCAGCTCCCAGCTGGAAAATGAGGGCATCTGGCTGTTTGAGCTCCAAATCCTGCGGTTTTGGGGTTACTGGTAGATGTTGCCTCGTCTGATGCTGCCCTCTTGGAAATACAGTAGCCCCCGTCTTCTCTCAGCCCGGCTCCCTGCCTCCTTCCTCCCTGTCACTCTTCTCCACCCCAGCCCCTTGCGCTCTCCCGCCCTCCTGTTTGGGGCCGGAAAGGAGCTCTGTGGAGTTGGGTGTCCGGCTGCAGGTAACAGTGCCACTTCCCCTGTGCCCTCTGGGGTCCAGGAAGGGTTCCTGCAACAGTCAGCCGGGGCGTTCTGTGCAGGCAGCCAGTTCTGACGCAGGGCAGGTGCTACTGACTCCGTCTTTCCACCATCAGACGGGAGGAGGTTTGACATGATCCGGCTCCGAGGCAGCTTCTTACCTTGCCCAGCCAAGGGAGGGGATTCACGTAGTCATTATCAAAGTGCCAACCGTAAGGAAGGAGAGCCTGAAGGGTTGCGTGGACGCCGGAGAGGTTCCAGGTCCTTCTGTGTCCCAGATGTGCAGGAGAGCAGGGAGAGGGGCTCAGGGCCCATCAGCCGTGGAGTAACTGCTGTAGTGATCCTTCTTCTCGGAGAGCGAGGGGCCGCGGTAATGACCTGGCTTGAACCTGAGATGGGGCGGATAAAGGACCTCGTTCATATGCACTGTGTACCAAACCTTCATCCGATGTGTTCGGAAAAGCGTGGGTACACATTTTTGTCTGGAACTTGAGAAAGGTTGTGGAGAAGTAGAATTGAGATAAGTTTATTTTGGTGCAGAAAAAATTTTTTAAGCTCATGCGTGGTGTTTTGGTAACACGCATCTTCCATGACCTGGTGAAGAGCCCTTGTGAACTTGATTTTGTGCTTGTCTTGAGGCCCATGGCTCTGAAAGTCCAGTAGAAGTGACTGTCCAGTGTCCAGTGTCCTGGTCCTCCATGTAGGATTTTCTCAAGACTGTTCCTCTGAGGCAGGGGCCATTTGGAGATTTAGAACATCATTTTTGGGCCGTACTAAATTATCGACTTACAAATTGGCCTGGGGTAGGTTATTGAATTTCAAACCCTGCCTGTAGTTGCCTTAGCAGAACCAGACCAGACGATTTTGTGGGCCTGGATGACCCCCAGCCTGGATGTTCCCTGCCCCTGCTCCAAGGTCTCAGGTGGCCAGAGGAGAGGCAGAGGCCACCCCCTCCCCAAGACTAGGAACATGGGTGACCCAAACAGAGGAGTCGACAGTGCCTGAAGTCAAGTTCTCTAGCTTTCTGGAGCCTTGTGTTCCCCTGTGGAGGAGCAGCTCTGTGGCGGATACTGGTGTGTTTGTGCACTGATGGCCATGGGTCCTAGGTTGGTCCTAGCACCTTAGTATCATAGATTCCCATGGCACAGGGCCTGAGAGGAGAAGACAGCCAGCAGGATGTGCAAGTAGGCCCCTGTGTCTTGTTGGGCAGCAGGGTCTTCCACACCAACTGTGTCTTAGGACGTATTCACCAAGAGGTTATACCATCGGAGGCCCACTTTTTTTTTTTTTTTATTTGACAGGTAGTTATACATAGTGAGAGAGAGAGACTGAGAGAAAGGTCTTCTGAGTAAAGGCGTACACTCCCCAAATGGCCGCTATGGCCAGCGCTGCACCGATCTGAAGCCGGGAGCCAGGTGCTTCCTCCTGGTCTCCCATATGAGTGCAGGGCCCAAGGACTTGGGCCATCCTCCACTGCCTTCCTGGGCCACAGCAGAGAGCTGGACTGGAAGAAGAGCAACCGGGACTAGAACCCGGTGCCCATATGGGATTCCGGTGCCACAGGCGGAGGATTGACCAAGTGAGCCACGGCACTGGCCCAAGGCCCGCTTTTAAATTAAATTTTTAAAATTTATTTAACTTCTTTGAAAGGCAGAGACGCAGAGATCTCCCAGTGCTGGTTCACTCCAAATTCCCACAACTGCCGGGGATGGGCCTGACCAAAACCAGGGGTCAGGAGCTCCGTGCAGATGTCCCATGAGGGTGGCGGAGACCCAAGTTCTATGGCCACCCTCTGCTGCCTTCTAGGATACGTATTAGCAAGAGGCTGGGATTGGCAGTGGAGCCAGGACTGGAACTCAAGATGCAAGCGTCCCAAACAGCATCTGTACGGCTGCACCCAGCCTCTCCCCACGAGGCCCCCTTTGAACCCTCCTCCTCCTGACCCTTGATGGGCAGTTCTTTTTGAACTGAACCGTGCAGAGCCATCATCTGTTCCACTCCACCCCCGACACACACACACACAGTCTCTCCATCAGCTGAGAAGCCTGCTGTTTTCTCTAGGGAGCGAAAGCTTCCAGGCTGCTCTGATGCAGGATGCTGGCGTCCCAAGTGGCAACCGAACCCACAGCACCAAGACACCTGCCCAGCCTTAAGGTTTTGAAATCTTGTCTACTGAAACGCTAGCGCCCCTAGAAAGGACACCTTCTGCTTTTCCCACTGAGCCAGTGATGAGCTGTGTGCCCAGCCGCGCCTGTGGGGTGGGCCTTGGAGGCAGGTGGGGAACAGCCACGCCCGGGGGTGGGCGAGACCCTGCACGTGTCTGACCACCTGTGACGGGCAGCGCTCAGCAGGCTAGAGTCTGGGCAGATGGCAGCGGTCTGAGAGGTTGACTTCCTCTTCGCTCTGTCCAGGGTGGTATGAGACCTCGACCGCTGGGCTGGGTCTGTCTAGTTCCTGTCCCCAGCACCAGACACACAGCGCTCCTCCCTCCACCCTTCGGGGGTCAGTGCTACTCCCTATGTCTTTTGAAAGAGATCTAAAGAATTCTTTCACATTCCAGGGAGTGACTAGTTAGCACGCTGTGCTCTCTCAGTTGTTCTTTATTTGTTTCATTATCGTTTTAAAAACGGGGAAACTGAGATCAGACGTTAAAGAACGGAGCTGCTGCCCACAAAGACGGTGCATGAGCGCACACACCACCTCCATCTTTCCATCATCTTGGCACTCCAGGGACATTCGTAGTCTGCCGTCGCTCGTCATCTTAATTTTCCTTAAAAGCAGTCGGAAGGGAACGGCGATGATGCTTTTGTGCTTGGCAAAGTGGTAACCTGTCGGTGGTGAAAATGAGGAAGGGCTTCTTGCTGTGGGAAAGCACTGGGAGATTCCGTTTCCGAATTCCCCATCCACATGTGCTGCCTGAGCAGGTGCAGAGAGGCAGCTTTGCAGAGCAGAGGGGCTGGGAGAGGGAGGGCTCCTCAGCTTGCCTCCCGCTGCCTGGTGTGAGCTGTGGTCCTTCCCGGTGACAGCCGTGACAGCGGGTGCATTCCATGCCACCCAGCTGCGAGACACTTCTGCCTGAGGCAGGCACACTCCACAGTTTCCCTACCAAATATAGACTAATAAAAGCAATGCTGCAGCTTCTTCCTTATTCCCCAGTTGGACAGCCCAGGCGTCCAGAATGTTTGGTAAACATTCTGTATTGTATTTTTATGAGAAGTACAGGAATGGTAAATAGGCAGACCGTCGGGATTTTTGTTTGTGTTTTGTTTCTAAGCACCAGGGTATGTGAGGGTCAGCATGGTCTCCTTCTCTGTCTTCTTTCTCATGGGTGCTCCAGGTGCTGGGAAAGTCAGGCACTACAAAAAGTTCATGGGAACATGGAATTCAAGCCTAAGTTTATCTTGGGGCAAAGAGATTCTAGGATCCGTATGTACATAGTTTCATCGTTCATATGTTCCATGAGCTTTTTCAGGACTCCCTTGTATGTGTGGATTTGCAGATTTTTTGCCCCAGGTAAACTTACCTTTTAGTACCATTTTTCTCAGGGACGTTTTGAGGTTCGCTTTACTGTAGCTCTGCTGGTGGCCTCTCTGTTGACTGCCACCTCCCAGCAGCACAGGCTGGATCCAGTTGGCCCCTTGATCACGGCCATAAATGGAGCAGCTGTGACAGGCTCCCAGGTGACGCTGAGGCTGCCAGCCAGGGGCTGCCCTGGGGGCCCCTCTCCATCACTTCACATTGAGTGGGTATTTCACCTGGAAAACAGTCGTGGAACCGTGGGGGTGTGCATTTGGCACAGCCGCTAGGACGCTCACGTTCCAAGTCGGAGTGTGGGGTTTGAGTCCTGACTGTACGTCCACTTCTAGCTTCCTGCACCCTGGGATGCAGCAGGTGATGTGGCTCAAGTACTTGGGCCCCTACCCCCCACGCGGGAGACCCAGACTGAGTTCCAGGCTCCTGGCTGCAGCCTGGCCCAGCCCCAGCTGCCGGAAGCATTTGGGGAGTGAACCAGTGGGTGGGAGATGGATCTCTCTCCCTCTTGCTCTGCTTTTTAAAGAAGTAAGCCCAAGCCCGACGCTCTGTGTCCTGATCTTCTCACTGACGGCTCTGGTCTGGCCCGCTGTCTTTCTAGGATTGTCTCAAAGCCTGCCAGGAGCAGATCGAGGCCGTGCTGCTCAACAGCCTGCAGCAGTTCCGTCAGGAGCAGCGCGACGGATCCAAGTCGGAGGATGAACTGGACCAAGCCAGCACCCCTACAGACGTGCGGGACATCGACCTGTGAGGATGCCAGGCGGGCCGAGCGAGAGAGGCGTGTCGTCATCTGCACTCTCCTCTCTGGTTATGTTTTGTTCTTTGTGTTTTAGGATGAAACTTAAAAAAAAAATCTGCCCCCACGTAGATCATATTTAAAGATCTGTTAGAAGTGAGAGAAAAAGGTCCTATCCAAACAATAATTAAAAGCGTGTGGTGCCTATTCAAAGTACAACATAAGGGAATCCCCTGTATATGCGAACAGTTGTTGTTTGATTATGTTAAAAGTGATAGTAAAATGCTTACCGGAAACCCTGCAGAGTAGCTAGACAATATGTACGCCTGCAATATGGGAACCAATTAGAAGAGACTCTTTGTCATGTTATGAACTAGTGCATACACACCCCTTTTTGTAGTGGCATTTCAAGGAACTGTGTAGGCCATTTATGGAATGATTAGATTGCCAAGCAATGAACTCAACAAGGAATTCGAAATAAGGAGGGGGGGCATGATGGGGAGGGAGTACCAAAAAAAACTTGCTGTGATTGAACCACGTTGGATGGAGAAGTGCCTCCAGTCTCCACCAGCTGTGGCAGCACGTGGCTGGTTGGACAGGGGGTGCTGGGTGGTAACCCCACCTCTCTTGCCACACTCGGCACTTCTCCTTCCACACGTGGCTCATCCCAGACTCCGCCGTATCATCTGGGAGAGAAATGCAGCTATCGGGCCCTAACCAAAACTCTTTGGGACATGGAAACAGAGGGTGGGATCTGGAATGGGATCTTTTCTCCTGCTGTTTGAGAGAGGGTACAGCGACCGTGGCATCCCGTATTAGGAAAAAACTGATCTTTTGGTGCTGATTGGCATGTCTGGTCCACAGTTGAGCATTGTTATAAACCATTCCATTCTTAAAGCACTTTGAAAATTTGTTCCCGAGGGGTAGATGGGATGGTTTATGCAAATCAAGCTGACTCCTCCCCTCTTCTCTCTGGCCCCTCCCCATCCTGCCCCCAGTCTTGAGTTCTCCGGTACCCACCCTTTCCGCTGGCATTCCCATCACGACATTCCTCGGAAAAGTCTGAACAAAGCCCTGTTAGCACGTGGATGGCGCGGAGGGCTCCTCCGCAGCTCCAGCTTCTCTCGACGGGGAGGGCAGGCGTCCTCGCGGACGGCTGGACCTCGGGTGTGGCGTGCGGCTCCCTTAGTTTCACTGCAAAGTCGTATTCAGCGTACTTGAATTTTCTGTTTCCTCTCCACTTCTTCGAGGCATTCAGTTAGCAGAGAGGTTGGAGCGACAACTTTTTTTTTTTTTTTTGCACAATTGTCATTGACAGGTAATGAAGCTATTTGTTACAATATTTGCTTTTTTTAAGTAAAAAAAAAAATCAGAACAGGGCTACCTTGAAGAATTATTTTATACACAGATTCTGCCTTGTTTCGTAGTGTGAGGGTTGAAGATGGAGAAAAATCTAAGGGTCTCTTATTTTCATTTTATTTTGTTCAGTTTTTTATTATTTTTTTTGCGCTGCTAAGAAGCTGAGATCGTTCATCCTTACTCACATTAACAGTACCTAGCTGTAATGTTTCACCAAGTGTGCTGCTATTTTATAAACATTTTTATAATATATTATTTTACTGCTTAAGTTCCAAGTCCTGAAGTAGATGGTTAAGATATGAGTTCTTCGTACTGGAAAAGCCCTCCCATCCTTTGTTCCTTCCGGTAGCATATTCATGGTTAGTGGGTTTTGTTTCTTTCTTTCTTTTTTTTTTTTTTTTCCTCTGATCACATTCTTCAAAGACAGTGCATTCTTTACCTCAGGTTTACTGGACAAAATCAATAACTACAAAAGACAACGACTTTCTTACCTCACAGCCGAACACTTTCTGCTTTGGGAGCAAGTCCCCAGGAGGGCGAGGCGAGGTCGGGTGGGGAGGAGGACTCGCCAGGCCCCGCACCCAGGGGCCTGCCCTTGCTCACAGGCCATCGGGCTCCCTTTCTGACTCCGGTATCCTCCTCATGATGGAAAAACAATGCATTGAACCAAGGGACCCCCCCCCCCCCCAAGGCAGACCTTGAACTCAAGCTTGGACCCAGCGGCATGGGCGCGGGAGTTGTAGGCGTCAGGAAGGAAGCGGGAGGGCATTGCAGCAGGCGCGGGGCTCGCGGGCGGCCGTCTCCCCTCTGTCTCGCTCCTGTGCACAGACCCCCACCCCCTCCCCCGTCATCTCTGCAGCTGTCCCAGGTCTTAGGCCTGCAGCTTGCAGCGTGTGTGGTGCTCAGACCGGGGTGAGGCAAGCAGTAGGCCAGCCAGGTCCTCGGCGAGGCTGGACCGCGAGATTCCGGGGTTCAAAATCACATGATGGAGTTGGCACAAAGAACAGACGGGGTAGGTGAGTGTAGGGAGGTGGCTGAGAGGCTGCAGGAAGTGTGATGGCAGGGGGTTGGGACTCGCTGAGCTAGCTTGACCCTGAGATTCTCGGGGGTTGGGGGGCGCTGGTGGGGCATGGCTGGCGCATCCTGAGGTTCGGGAGCAGAAAATGGAGCAGCCAGTGTTCACCCAGAGCCTGCGCTGTGCGGCGCGGCGCGGCGCGGGGAAGGCCCGGTCCCTGGGGTTCTCGGGGAGTCCTGGTGCAGATTCAGCCCTCGGACGTGCGCGAAGCTGACAGATGAGGGAGGAGCAGCCCTCCCAGCCTCTTCCTGCGGTCTGGGTCTTTCTAGCTTTTTCTCTCCTAGCCGTGGGGCCGCGAGGGATGGCCGGTGCCGGCGACAGGGCAACAGGCTTTCTTTCTGTGTCCTACATAAGCAAAAGCAGGAGCCCTGGATTTCTTGGAGGGACGCACACCCTCTCTGGGTCCTGGTCTCCCCGTAGGAAGGAGTTTTCACCCCAGAGAGGTTCAGATCTGCTCATGGATTTGAACTTTTTTTTTTTCCCTCTGTCTCACCTCCCACGAACCGGGTTCCACATTTATTCTGATCTTTTTTCTTAATTTCTAAGTTTTTTTTTTTTCTCCATCAGTTGGGGCTGAGTTGTCCTCCCACTCCCAGCTTGCCAAATTTTAACCCTTCCCCTATTTTGGCCCAGTCTTGTGGGGGAGAAATTGCCAAAAATACATGCTGAGTGGGGAAACACCGTGCAGGTGGGGGTCAGCCAGGGAGGAAGTGGCGGCAGCTTCCTCTGCAAACCCCTTGCCTCAGGTGCGCTGGGGGGTGAGCTCCTTGGAGAGGGGGCTTCGGGCTGCCCTTGGGCTGGGTGCTCTGTCCTGGCTCGGGCGGGCGGAGGCTTAGGAGGCCGGAGGAGTAGGAACCACCGACTGCCTCTCTGGGCCAGCCGCAGGGCTGACTGTGGGGAGAGAGCTGTGGCTTTCCTGCGGCCCGGTACGTTCAGGGCCCCTCCAGGCTGCCCGGGGAGCTCTGGCACCCACAGGTGAGGACCGGCTGAGTCCCTCCAGGAGGGCAGGGGGATTTTCTCTCCATGGGCCACGGGGGACGGGGCTGGGAGAAGAAATACACTTGCACCTTATGTCGTGTAAATACTGAGTTTCTAGTTCAAGAAGATAATCCTGGTTAGTGCGGGATTGGAGGTAGGAGCGAGGCGGACGTTGGAGCGCGCCAGTTGGCATCCACACCAACAGGATTCCTCTTTGTTTATCTTTGAGACAGTCCAACCTTGGGAATAGCTTTAAAAGGGAAATTAATGCTGAGACGGTAAAGTCCCCTGTGCAGCCCTGGATGGAGCGCAGGCTTCCGTGGCTGCGGACCTGGGACATTGCTCATGCAGTCATTCGTCCGTCCGTGGGTACAAGATTGGGTGGGAAGGTGCAGGAGGGTGTTTCTGGCTTCTCATGGCACATGGCTTTGCATGGTTCCAGGCTCTGAGCCACCTGCAGGAGTCCCTCGGCACAAACTTTTGTGCTGCCTTCGCATGTCCCCGCGTGTCAGCGTGGCTGGGCCGGGAGCCTCCGTCCCCGTCCCATCCCGTCCCGTCGCCTGCAGGGGACGCAAAGTGCCTTACCGACCGTGGCCTTACAGTTTCCCATGTACGCTGACAGGTGCCTGTCCTTGAGAAGAGAAAAGCGTCTGTTTTGTTTTGAATCAGTTTTAGTTTCTTACTGCCGGCCAAACTCCTATGTCCCCAGCAAATCCCCGGGCCACTGGTTGTTTCTCCATTATGTTCATTACCTTGTACCATGTACCTCAGATCTCTCTCTCTCTCAGTTATAGTTTTTCATCTTGGCCTTTTTTTTCTTTTTATTCTTTTTATTTTATTTTAATTTTTTTTTTTTTTGCTTTAAAACGAGTGTGATACCATAGCAAGTCCATGTTAGCCTCTCACCATGTACTCTGTAAGAGGTGTGTGGCTGTTTATCTGGTCGGGATGCTAAGTAGTGTGATGGATGTAAACGAGGTTTTTAGGAAGTGTGGCAGAATGTTGGCTGTGACAGTGACACGGTGTAGTCAGCTGCCTCTGACGAGGCCTTCTCTGTTCAGTGTTAAGTGATTTAAAAAAAAAATCCATACCCTGTTCTGACTTGGTTTAAAGATGGAGTAGAAGGTGGATTTGAAAATGGTTTGGGATGCAATTAGGTTATGCTATTTGGACAATAAACTCACCTTGACCTACATCGTCTGGCCGCTTGTGACTTATTTAGAGACTGGTGTTCCTCGGAACGGAATACACCGGTCTCCCCGCAGGACTCCCGAGGGCAGGGATCAGCACACCCTAGCCCGGAAGGTAATCCACCTGTGCGTCCGTGTCGTGCCAACACAAGGAGCTGGTGACGCCGTGGTGGCTTCCGGTTGCGCTTCCTGTGCCATCTGATTGTACAGCAGAAGCCTCCGTCCGTTCCCTGAGGTGGCTAAGTCACCGGCAGCGTGACCGGGCCTCCGACGCCAGCCCCAGCGGCCACCTACCCTTAGCCGTGAAGGAGCGCCGCCTGGCTTGGAAGCTATCAGAAGCCCTCCGTGCCTTGTCCTGACCCTGGGGAGTCTCTGGGGAACCCCGCCCCTGCAGCCTTCTTAGCAGCTCCTGCCTGATTCCTGGCGCTCTGTGCGTCCCTCACGTGAGGGGCCTGGGCTACAGCTGCCCTTGGTGGAGGCTGGTGAGGCGGAGCCAGGGAGAGGGGTGGGACAGTCACCCTCACCTCTGCAGAAAGCGCCAGGCCCTGGTCCCAGCTGCTCTTAGCTTTCCCAGCAGGAATGGGAATGCAGAGGGGAGTGGCTGAGCCATTGCACCAGTACTCGAGTGGCTCTCTTTCCAAGCCACTGAAGGCTGTTTGCCGGTTCCATTCTGCACTGAGCTGCAAGCAGTAAGACGAGACTTGGTCTCTGGGGCAGGCCAGAATGAGGCGGTCCCTACTGATCTCAAATAGTCCCAGTTCATGTGCCTGCCCGTACATTTTCTCTTGCTAGAATGGAAGTGTGGGGGCTGGGAAGGCCCAGAGCTGGCGTCTGGGGTGGGCATCGCACGGAGAGACAGAGCAAGCCCACCTCGTGCAGCACGGATGCCGTCCTGGGGACCCCCACCCTCATGACTCCAAATGCGAGACACCTCCCCCAGGCCGTCCTCCAAATGCCGTCGGCATGAGGTGGAGGGTTAGGTTTCTAGCACACCAGCTTTCGGGGGAAGACTGCCAACTGTAGCAACATGGCGCTGAAACTTACGAGGACTGGAGAGTCCTCCTTGTCCCTATCTTTCACTGACTTCCATCAGTCTTGGAGACACCAGGGCTAACGTTTTTCCCTTGCGTTTCTGCCTGGTGGAGTCCACAGGCAGGAGCTCCCAGAGCCCTGGGCACCATCTTGGAGATTGCTCTCTGCCAGCCCATCAGCTGGGCCCTTCTCCCCTCTTCCTTATCTGCTTGCTCTCCAGGGTCAAAGCCCCACTTCCCAAATGCTTCTCCCTGCAGAGCAGCACAGACAGCATGCACGGCTCCGGGTGAGATACCAGCCTGGCCTTGTGTGCGCTCCTTCAGGTCCAGGTCACCCTTCACTGCAAGACCTTTGTCATTCTAGTGAGCACCTGGGCCTTCCCACCAGCCACTTTCCAAGGAGCGTGTCCATTCAGGACACAGAGGTGCCACTCAAATGAAAGAACGCCCTCCGGGGCAGGCATTTGGCCCAGCAGTTAGGACTCAGGTTGAGGTGCTCACGTCCCATAAATATCAGAGGGCCTGGGTGTGAGTCCTGGCTGTGGCTCCTGGTTGCAACTTCCCGCTAATGCAGACCCTGGGAGGCCCAAGTAGTTGAGGTTCCTGGCTCATCCTTGAGCAGTGGTGGCTCCAGTAGTTGAGGTCCCTGCCACTTTTTTTTTTTTTTTTTTTTTTTTTTTTTTTGACAGGCAGAGTGGACAGTGAGAGAGAGAGAAAGGTCTTCCTTTTGCCGTTGGTTCATCCTCCAATGGCTGCCGCGGCCGGCGCACTGCGCTGATCCGAAGGCAGGAGCCAGGTGCTTATCCTGATCTCCCATGGGGTGCAGGGCCCAAGCACCTGGGCCATCCTCCACTGCACTCCCTGGCCACAGCAGAGAGCAGGCCTGGAAGAGGGGCAACCGGGACAGAATCTGGCGCCCGACCGGGACTAGAACCCGGTGTGCCGGCGCCGCAAGGTGGAGGATTAGCCTAGTGAGCCGCGGGGCCGGCTCCCTGCCACTTTCACAGGAGACCTGGATTGAGCTCCCAGCCCCTGACTCTGGTCATTGTGGCCATTTGGGGGAATGGACCAGTGTGTGTGTGTTTGGGGGGCTCTCTCTCTGCCTCTCCTATTAGTCAATAAATAAATAAATAAAACAAAGCTTTCCAGCGGGCTTAGCAATCATATTCTCCGCACTGCCATGGAGCGCTCCCCAGCGGACTGCTCCCTCGCTCCTTAGCAGTAACCACACAGCACAGCGTCTGGTGGCTGTGCGCATGCGGCTTCCGTCTCCGGCGTGCTCTGGGTGTCCATCCATGGCCAACCCCGGGTGCAGGCCTACACTGGACCTCAAGGCAGAGAAGCCAACCCCAGGCGCCAGGGTTTCAGAAGTGTCCCCGGGCCTGCGAGGCTGCCCAGAAGTACCTGAGCCAATGCAGACGAGCCCGAGTTCCACCGAGGCCGCGTTGGGGGAGGGCTCTTGCCCAGGAGACCGGGTTTGCCCCAACTCGATGTCCGTGTGGGGGCAGCAGCGTTTGGAAACAGTAGGAACAAAGTCTTGACCTTTTCCAGAAATAAAGGGTGGGAAGTGACTTTTTAAATGAAGGGAAAATATTCAAATAGGCAGCTTGAAGAGCACACACAGCATAATGGATTTTAAACACAGAGGTCGCCCTCCCGAAATGGGATGCACTCGGGGCCACAAACACTGACTTGGGATTACCACCTAGCTCATTTCTCAGGAGGCCTGGAGGAAGAAGGCCGGGGGGGCTCAGGGAGATGACTGGTGGCTTTCACTCTCTCTGGCCTCTGGAGGCCTGCTGTCTGCGCTGACCACAGACTGAGTCAGCCAGAGCTGGGCGGCCTGGGAAAACAGCAAGACAAAGCTGGACTTATTTCCCTCTGACTCCCATCTCATTATCCCATTGCAGCTTATCGAAAACACAGTGTGGCTCCGGTTCCTGCGGACGAGCCCTTGGCCTTCGGGGTGGGGGCCGGGGGAGGGCCCTCAGGGTTCCCACACCCCCCCTCCATAAATCACTCCGCATAATTTGCAGGGGTCCACGCGGAGGTTTAGATGTACGGCTCTTCCAGTTCAGTCCACTAGGTGGCACCAGTGCCACAGTGAGGAACCAACTTACAAACCTCAGCAGCGCCCGCCGCGTGTGGGAAGCACCTCCCACCCGCAGCCCTCTCACCTGGTGCTCCTACCACCTCCACGTCCCGCCCTCGTCTCGGGTGGCTGGTGCTGACTCATCACCTCTCTGATCTTGCCCGAATCTAATCCCGAGATGGCGAACTGGCAGCCTGCAGACATAATTAGTTTGACTCCCACAGTGATTGAAATTGTCTTGGACCTGCTTGCCAATATAAGATGAGAGCTTTCACATGAAAGTCGGGATTTTAACTACTCTTGGGAAATCTAAGTCCGGGCAACCACAGGCCTGCGAGGCAGCGAGGGCTGCCTGCTCCCCCGCCCCCGCGGCTCGCTGAGCCCTCCTGTCTGGTGTGCAGCTCACAGCCCGATCTGCACCGGGCGCACAACTAGGGTGCAGAACTATATATCTTTTTTTAATGTAAGAGGCAGAGAAGAGACACATTAACAGAAAGAAAGAGTTCCCATCCACTGGTTCACGCCCCCAAATGCCTGTGACAGCTGGGGCGGAGTCGGGGCCAGAGCCAGACGCAGGGTACACAGTCCAGGTCTCCCACGTGAGCGGCAGGGGCCCAGCGCTGCTTCCTCCCGAGGGCTGCGTTAGCAGGAAGCCAGAGCCGGAGTTGAGAATCGAACCCAGGCACTCCAAGGTGGGACGTGGGAGCGCACGCACTAGGCTTAAAATGACCACTCCCTGGACCAGCTTTTTGAAACTGTCTCTGAAACCCAAATACTCGGCCCCACACTGAGGTCTGCAGTGTGCACGCAACCGGACTGGCCCGGGTTAAAGATCAGCTTTTGCTGCTCTGTGTATGGAATCCTGTTCGGGTCTCACGACACCATCAGGGCCCCCTGAGAAAACAAACTTAGGAGATGTGGTGGTCCCTGGGACAGTGCGAATCCCCAAGGCTGTGTTTCACTCTGCCCACCCATTCAACACCGCACTCTTCACCACCTCATTGCACACGGGGTCTGGGCGGGGGGGGCGCCTGGGCACTGCTGGGTCATTGAACCGATGAGAGTTGGATGTGGGCCAGGCATGCTGTCCAGAGCCCCTCACTCAACAGGTGCTCCTTTGGCACCTCCTCCAGTGCCGAGGGCCCTGCAGCCCTGGGCTCGGTGGCTGACGGCTGACACAGACAAGGCGTCACTGCTGCTCTGTGGTAGCCTGGTGGACTGCCTGCTCTGAACCCCACGCAGGCATCCATGAGCTTTGTGACCTGCAGAACGTTACTTAGCCGCACCCAGTAACTCGCAGGTCAACTAGGTGCCTCAGTTTTTCATCTGTGAAATGGGGTTACATAGTAACAGTACCGTCCTCTAAGACTGTTACCCAGAACTGAGTGAGTTCATTTCAGCACTGAAATAGTCCCTGGCCCATAGCCAGGGCCTGAACAATGGGTGTTGGCTGTCGTTAGCCAGAGCAGAGCACAAGAGAGACACCTGATTTGGCCTTTCTAGAGATTAATTACACACAGGTAGGTGTGCCGGCTAGTGGCTGACACAGCCGTGAAGACACCTGCATCCCACACCAGAGGGCCTGAGTTCGCTCCTGACTCCAGCTTCCTGCTGACGCAGAGCCTGGGAGGGAGCACTGATGACTCAAGTCTGTGGGCGCCTACTGTCCACTTGGGAGGCCTGGATGGAGTTCCAGCTCCTGGCTTTGGCTTGATCCAGCCCCGGCTGCTGCAGGCATTTGAGGAGTGAACCTGCAGCTCAGGGGTGGAGAACATTTTTTCTGCCCAAGGCCATTTGGATATTTATAACATCATTTGTGGGCCATACAAAATATCAACTTGGCACGGGCTCTGTGGCTTAGTGGGTAAAGCCGCCGCCTACAACACCAGCATCCCACATGACTGACGGTTCAGATGCTGGCTGTCCTACTTCCAATCCAGCTCCCTGCAAATGTGCCTGGGAAAGCAGCAGAGGATGGCCCAAGTGCTTGGACCCCTGCACCCATGTGGGAGACCCGGATGAAGCTCCTGGCTCCTCGCTTAGCATTGGCCCAGCTCTGGCCATTGCAGCCATCTGGGGAGTGAACCAATGGATGGAAAATATCTCTCTCTGTCCCCTTCTGTCTCTCCTTCTTTCTCTCAGAAACTCTGACTTTCAAATAAATAAAATAAATCTTTAAAAAATTTGTCAATGTAAAATTTAGCCTGTCATAGATTTACTGCGTTTTGAGTTCCTTGGCAGCGCCAGATCAAAGGATTGTGAGGGCCTTACACAGCCTGCAGGCCCTATGTTCCACACCCCTGCAGTACATGCTTCTCTCTCTGTCGCCCACACACCTCAAATAAATAGAAATTATTAATCAGATAGGAACCAATCTTTCAATTACCAAAACCTACTGCACTGGAGAAAGAACTTTTAAAAAAATATATATTTATTTACTTGAAAGGCAGAGTTATAGAGAGAGGAAGAGACACAGAGAGAGGTCTTCCATCCTCTGGGTCACTCCCCAAATGGCCACAACAACCAGGGATGGGCCAGGCTGAAGCCAGGAGCCAGGAGCTTCTTCCAGGTCTCCCATGCAGGTGCAGGGGCACAATGACTTAAGCCATCTTCCACTGCTTTTCCAGGCCATAACAGAGAGCTGGATAGGAAGAGGAGCAGCTGGGACTAGAATTAGCATCCGTATGAAATGCTGGTGCCTCAGGCGGAGGCTTAGCCTACTACGCCACAGCCCGGCCCTGATAAGGAGACTTTTAGATAACCAGCCACTAAGTGCACTCCGTAGTTTTAAAATATTACCTCTCACGCAATCTTCACAACTCCCTGGTGAACTTCAGCCTTCGTGTTGCAGCTAAGTGAGGTGAAGGTCACAGCCATCACTCGGCTCACAGTAAGGGGTCTGGCCAGGGCGGGAACCCACGAGTAGCTGGCTTGGAGCTCCATGCACCATCCACGGCACTGGGCTACTTTGCGTATCTATAGTCTGCCCCCCAAGGAATTGGGCTGGAGTGGTGGAATGGGTAAAATGATGATAGAAAGTCACATGCCGAAAAAAAAAATAAAGAAAAATGAAACAAAACAAACAGAAAAGAGAGTCTCCTTCCGTGAAAACAACATGCAATCAGAAAGGAAAGGGCCTCAGGGAGCGGGAGACCCAGCAGTGGGTTTACAGCCTAGAGAGCAGGTTCTTCTCGCCCACGTTTTTGCCCCCAGCCTTGGTTACTCCACGGTCGCTGTCGCTGTCACTCTGCGCAGGTTGCTGGCCGTGCCCTTGGTGTGCGAATGCCTGGCTCCTGCGCTTCTCTGCCCCGGGCGCCCAGGTGCCAGGAGGTAAGTGCTTTCCCCTACTTTTCACCGGGACAGCCTGCATCTCAGCCGCCCACAGTTCTGGTCCCCTCTCCAGTTAGGCTTTCTTTGCTTAGCCACAGCATTCAGGGTGGGACGGAGGGCTGGGGGAGGCGCTGTTGGCTTCAGGCCTTCAGGGCATGCCCTGAAGCCCTTCCAGGACCTGTGACCTCGGCGTACTGCCAGAGGTGGACAGTGAGAGAGAGAGACAGAGAGAAAGGTCTTCCTTCCGTTGGTTCACCCCCCAAATGGCTACCACGGCCGGTGCGCTGCACTAATCCGAAGCCAGGAGCCAGGTGCTTCCTCCTGGTCTCCCATGTGGGTGCAGGGCCCAAGCACTTGGGCCATCCTCCACTGCACTCCCTGGCCACAGCAGAGAGCTGGACTGGAAGAGGAGCAACCGGGACAGAACCAGAGCCCCAACCGGGACTAGAACCTGGGATGCCGGCGCCACAGGTGGAGGATTAGCCCAGTGAGCCGTGGCGCCGCCGACTCTGAAATTCTTACACTTAATGTTTGTAGCCACCAAAAATCGAAAGCTGCCATTGGCCACTCCCTCACAACTTGGCCACCAACTTAGAATGAAAGCAAGTCACCACATCTGGACGTTCGGCAGACAGAGAGCAGGCCTTCCCAATCAGCTCGGGGCATCGTCGGCACCTGTGACAGCCTGGCTCCGTCTGCACCAACCTCTTGCCTGAAAGCTGCTTTCTACATGGCAGGCATTGTCAAGGTGAGGGCCTCTTACCTTCAGTCAGCCACAAGCAGCCCAAAGGCCTCCCAGTCCTGCAGGTGGACAGCGGGCTCAGCTCGCCCCTGATGGCCCAGGTCCTAGTCCCCACCCCAAGACTGCAGTGCCAAGTCTCCTGGGATTCTTCACTCTGTTCATTCAAAGGCGCAGTCAGGGCTGCTGCTGTGGTGTAGTCGGTAAAGCTGCCACCTGTAGTGCTGCTATTCCACATGGGCGCCAGTTCGAGTCCCAGCTGCTCCACTTCCGATCCAGCTCCCTGCTAATGCACCTGGGAAAGCAGTGGAGGATAGCCCAAGTGTTTTGGCCTCTGGACCCACATGGGAGACCCGAATGAAGCCCCCTGGCTTCTGGCTTCGGATCGGCCCAGCTCCTTTGTGGCCATTTGGAGAGTGAACCAGAGGATGGAAGATCTCTGATTCTCTGCCTCTGCCTCTCTGTAACTCTTCCTTTCAAATAAATAAATCTTAAAAAACAAAACAAAACAAAACAAAAAAAAAACAACATAAGATGCAGAGTCTCTAAGATGGCTACGGAGGTCAGTCCGCCTATCTCTGTTTCATGAGGCCTCTCTCTAGCTTGTATCACGACCGTCGGGCTGCTGTTTTCACCCGGACCCCCGCCCCCCCTTGTGAAACTTCAGAGTCCCAGTGAGGAAAGCACTCCTCAGAATGTAGACCCAGGTCAGGGAAGTGCCTGTGGACCGCGAGTGTGTTGATGAGGGTGCCGGTCGTCCAGCCCTGGTGGGGAGGGGGGACATCCTTGTCTACACTGTGTCCATCCTGGATGTCCGGGTCCCTTCTGAACTTCACGCGTCAGACTGGACCCCTCGCCAGTGGTACTAGCGCCCTTTAAAGGGATTCCAGGGGGCTGCCCTCTTTGCTCTGGGTGAGGCTGCATCGAGACATTCATGAAGGCCCTCACCAACACCTGACCATGGCCTTCAGCCTTCAGAGCCGTGGGAAGGAAGTGTCTGGTGCTGTAAGCCCCCGGCACTGTGAGCTGATCAAGACAACTGCCTGCAGCCTCCTGGGTCACATGGACACACGTGGAGAATTTGGGAACATTCTAGGGAAGATTGCAAACCCCGTGACTGCGGCTTTCCCCATGACGTTCCTCCTATTCCTAGATGCCAAAGAAGTATCCTGTTGTTCCCACACCATGCTGGGGCTCGGAGCCTAGAGACTGTCCACGGCTCTATCTAGAGTCACTTCCCGGCTGCTAGCTGTCTCTATGGGTCTCACCTGGGAAAGGACCATGGGTTGTGCTTTCCTCCCAAGCCCCCAAATTTACATTGCTTAAAAAAAAAAATCACATCTCTGGCCTGTTCCTGTTACTCAGGACCCACCAATATCCTTGCTGTCACTGCTTCTCCAATTACCTCTCCCCCCTACTTAGTCCGGAGAACCACTCCAGGCCAGGAGCAGGCAAGCGAGCGCTGTCTTGTCACCATGGTCTCCCAGGCTTCGGCTGTGTCGACTCCTTTCACTGTCCTCCAGGAAGAGAAATTATGCTCCTTGTCACTTTGTGCTCAACATCCCTGCCATGAAAAGTGGGACAGAGGATGAAGGGCTCAAAAAATGTCAGGGAAAACACCAAAGGAACCACACTGATTAATATCCCAAAATATTATCCTGCCAAGGATGTGAACACCTCCGTCCCTGCACAGGAGGTCATGTTCGGGATCACCCAGCAGCGTGGGGATAGAAGTGCAAAGGCACTCTTGGCCCCTGTAGATCTCCAGTCACTGCCCAGCCCAGGGAGCCTCCCGACACCTTGATCACTATAAGCCGAGTGTCCCCAATCCAATCGCCCAGAATCTGAGACGCTCCAAAACCTGAAAGCTATTGAGCACTGGAATGATGCTTAAAAAAACAAACAAACAAAAAAACTCAGCTTCCAGAGTATTTTGGGTTTGGAGATGCTCATCACAGTAAAATCCGAGCAAATATTCCAAAATCGAGAAAACTCCAACATCTGAAATGCTTCTGGTCCCTAGTATTTCAGATAACAGGTACTCAACCCGGACTTTTCTGGAAAGCCCCTTGTATCCGATGTTTTAAAGGCAGTCACTCACTCAGAAAGGGGTCTTCAAAGAGCTCATGGCAACTGCTGCAAAACGCAGATTGTGAAAAAACTATGAATGGACTTCAAAGTGACTTTGCACAAAAATAAATTTATATTTTCAGAATATTTTATTTATGTATCTGAGAGGCAGACAGCTAAGAAAGGGAGAGAGAGACCCACAATGCCCAGGGCTGGGCAGGCCTAATGCCAGGAGCGGAAACTCAATTCAGGTCACCCTGGTAGGTGAGCCATCATTGCCACCTCCTCATCTCTGCATTAGCAGGAAGCTGGAATCATGAGCTGGAGCCAGGATTGAACTCAGGTACTCCAATATGGAAGGCAGGCGTCTTAACTGCTAGGTCAAATGCCAACCCTAAGTTTACCTCTTAATTCCGCTGCTGTGGACTTTTTGCGGTACCCTACACGTTCCCTGTGTCGCTGCAGAGCCCAGCTGAAGGCACCATGGAAGATGTACTTTGCTGCAGCACTTCCTACTGTCTTAACTTGCCCTACGCTCCAAAGCTTTTCAGGTATTTGGCCGAGAGTGCAGGATTTTTTAGCCTAAAGGTCTTATCTTTGCCTTAACACTCTGCCGAGAGCAAGAGCTTTGGCCTCCCCAGGGCACTCTCCCAACGCGTGTCTTCGCTGGGAATGTTACTGACTGCGTCACACATCCATCTGCCGCGTACCATCATCGTGACCGCAAGAGTCAGCATGCTGTCGGGGGACAAGAGCTCACGTACACAAGAAGACTTGAGTTTGCATCCTCGCTGTATAGGATCTGAGCCTCTGCTTTCCTTTTTTTTCCCATAGGTAGGAAAACTTGCTGGATTATTAAAAGGATTAAAGTGCCCAATCCATGGGAAACTTCAACAAGAATCACCTACTCTGATGCTGTGTTAATCCTTTCTAAAGGCCTTACAGATGCGGGTGTTGTTTTGCCCGAAAGGCAGGGTGGAGGCCCGTGCAGCTTTCTGTGCGTTCTGACGGAGGCTGCTTTGATGCGACTGGAAGCATTTACAACGTTCGTGACTTCCCCTCCCTGCGTGCTGCTGCCATTCTCCCAGACAGCAGTGAACCTGGGCTTGACGGGCTAAGAGGCAAGGCATGAAAAAGGATTACTGGCTGCCTATATGCAAATGAAGGGGCGTCCCCCGCAGCACATCAGTCTGAGAAGGCATCCTTCAACTGCCCATCAGCAGAAAAGCGGTTGGAGTGGCAGATATGATTTTTTGGAACCAGCAATAATGGGGACTTATCAGTGACAGATGTCAGCTGTTGGCCGAGTGGCTGCCAACACAAATCTCCCTCCACCTTCAGACAGCAAGCTGATGGAGAGCTGGGCACAGTGGGACTGGCAGCCCCTGGTCGCTTGGATCATTGGTCACGTTATTATTCCTCAGTCACTGGACAAAGCAGATGGTTTACCATGTATTCGTGACTTTCTGTTGGCCAAGAGATTCTGTTCTTCCATCTGGGTCCAGCATGTAATCAATTATGACAGTGGGTGGTGCAAGAAAATCTCAGCCAATAGAAGTTCAAGGCTTTCTCTTTTTATTAAAGCTACATAAATTGCTACAATTTCCCATGTTTAACCTGTTTTAAAAGTTTTTAAGCAACAGAAAGAAAACAGCTAAGTAGTAGTGTTGGAAAAGCTGGAGCAGTTGCGAGACACATTGTCAGTTGGTCCTGGAAATTCTGTCCGTACTTGGATGTTGATTGTACCTGTCCATTTTGTCTTAGGCTTAAAATCCTCTTGTCTGTATTCTGGTGAGTCTTAGAGAGCCTTAACCTAAAATCATAGGTTGACAGAATTAAAAACAAACATAACATTTCAAAAACACCCATACTCACCAACTAAACTTTTTCTTTAATACTCAGTTGTACTCTTTTTCAGTAGCAATAGCAGTAACCCAGCTTGTCTCACTCGGTAGGTATGATGGTCGTGTCCATGAAGCAATATAGACTCTGTTCTTCACCAACCATCTGGATAATCTTCTTCTTCTTCTTCTTCCCCTTCCCCTTCCCCTTCTTCTTCCCCTTCTTCCTCCTCCTCCTCCTCCTCCTCTTCTTCTTCTTCTTCTTCCTCCCCTTCCCCTTCCCCTTCTTCTTCCCCTTCTTCTTCCCCTTCTTCCTCCTCCTCCTCCTCCTCCTCCTCTTCTCCTTCTCCTTCTCCTTCTCCTTCTCCTTCTCCTTCTCCTTCTCCTTCTCCTTCTCCTTCTCCTTCTTCTTCTTCTTAAATTCATTTACTTGAGTGGCAGGGAAAAACAAAGACAGACAGACAGAAGTTCTCATCAGCTAGTTCACTTCCCACATGACCATAATAACCAGAGCCAGATCAGGCCAAAGGCAGGAGCTGGGAACTCAGTCCAGGTCTCCCACATGGATGGCAGGGACCCAACCACTCACGCCACCACCTGCTGCCTCCTTGGGTCTGCTTTAGCAGGAAGCTGGAATTTGGAGCAGCGCGGGGACTTGAACTCAGGCACTGCAATCTGAGATGCAGGTGTCCTGAGTAGCATCTTAACCACTTTGACAAACACTCGCCCCTGGATCATTTTATTTGCAAAAAAAAATCCTGCTTAGTTATTGTGCATATATCTCTGGAAAAAAATTAGTAGTAGGACAGAACAAGCACTTTCCACATTATAACTACCACCCAGAGAAAACCTTGACACAAATGACATGGTTTTTTTTCTTTTCTTAAAAAAATGCTTTTTTTTTTTTTTAAATCAGGTTCATTAAGAATTGATGGTTTTCTGTCCTGCTCCCTTTTTCCTTTTAACCACATATTAGGGGAATGTTATCAGACTATGACATATTCTTTCAGGACGTGTCCTCCACTGATAGTAGATATTGATTGGGTTTCTAAAATGTTTCTGGTACTACTCCAGGTGCTGGAGACGTAGAAGAGATTAGTTAGATTAGTTAGCATAGTCCCTGCTGTCAAGGAGACAGACACTGGAGCTGGAGCAGCAGTAAATGATTTCATTTCAGACCTGAGTACTATAAATTAGGGTAATACAGTAACCAGTGAGGCTGCTCTGCCTGAGGGAAGCCCCCTGAGGATGTGACGTTAGAGTTGGTTCCTGAAGGCTGCGAAGGAGGCAGCCATGCAGATAGCTTGAGAAAGAGCTTTGGGAGGAGAAGGAACGTAAAATATAAAGACTGTGAGAGAGAAGCCAGGGGAGGGCATCACACAGGCCTTGCGGGAGCCGGACTCTATTCCAGCGCAGTGAGAATCCACTGGAGACTCTTCCAGGAAGGCAGTGACATGGTGCGATCATAGAGACATCACTTTGATGGATGAATATGAGAACAGACAGCAGAACCGGGCTAGCCACCTGTCACCACTGTCCCAACAGGAGATGATGAAGACTCAGCCTTAGGACACCGAAACACAGTGCCCAAGTCCATTTTTCTGTTGCTCTGACGGAGCACCTGACACAGGGTGACTCAGAAAGGGTAGAGATCGACTTTGGCTCACAGATCTGGAGACTGAGAAGTCCAAGAGCCCGACGAAGGCTCTGGTGAGGGCCCCGTGCTGCTCCAGCTCACGGGAGAAAGTGGAAAGCAGGAGCAAGTGAAAGAGACAGAACACGAGCGTCTGCCTTGCTCTGCCACACCTGCTCTCGTCTGGGGTCCAGTCTTGCAAGAACACCATCAGTTCCTCTTAATGACCCACACTGCAACCAGATTTCAACATGAGTCTCTACAGAGCCAAACCGTATTCAAACCCTAGCAGGTCACACAGAGAAGTGGTGGATTCAGGACACGTTTTGGTGAGTGAGCCCATGAGAATTTTTATTGCTTACTTATTTATCGAAGATTTCAATCACACAATCAACTTGCTTCAGACATACTTGGACATCTATAGAACTCTGCATCCAAAAATGAGTGACCCCACACTTTTCACAACCACACATGATGCAGTTACACAAAATGACTATGGACTTGTCTATAAAACAGGTCTCCACCAATTTAAAAGATATGTATCTTTAAAAATCCATGATGGGGGCCGACGTTGTGGCGCAGCAGGTTAAAGCCCTGACCTGAAGCGCCGGCATCCCAGATGGGTGCTGGTTCTAGCCCCGGCTGCTCCTCTTCCCATCCAGCTTTCTGCTATGGCCTGGGAAAGCAGTAGAAGATGGTGCAAGTCCTTGGGCCCCTGCATCCACATGGAAGACCCGGAGGAAGTTCCTGGCTCCTGACTTTGGATTGGCACAGCTCCGGTCTTTGCGGCCATCTGGGGAGTGATGGCCAGTGGATGGAACACCTCTCTCTTTTTCTTTCTTTTTTTCTTTTTTTTTAACTTTTATTTAATGAATATGAATTTCCAAAGTACGACTTATGGATTACAATGGCTTCCCCCCCATACCGTCCCTCCCACCCACAACCCTCCCCCCTCCCACTCCCTCTCCCCTTCCATTCACATCAAGATCCATTTTCAATTATCTTAACATACAGAAGATCAGCCTAGCACACATTAAGTAAGGATTTCAACAGTTTGCTCCCACACAGAAACATAAAGTGAAAAATAATAGATGATTTTTTAAAATGATGATGAAATCAGATCAGACCTATTGTCATGTTTAATCCCAGTGACCTCTCTCTTTTTCTGTCTCTACTTCTCTCTGTAACTCTTTCAAATAAATATAATAAATATTTAAAAAAAAATCCATCAAGGTCCATAGATTTGACTTTATAACTATCTTAGCTTTACTACCAAAATAACTCTTGTGAAAATAACTTTCAGCATTAAAAATGACACATAAGGGGGGCTGGGCTGTGGTGTAGTGGGTAAAGCCACTGCTTGCAGTGCTGGCATCTCATATGGGAGCTGGTTTGAGCCCGGCTGCTCCACTTCCAAGTCAGCTCTCTGCTGTGGCCTGGGAAAGCAGTAGAAGATGGCCCATCCACTTGGGCCCCTGCACCTGCATAGAAGACCCGGAAGAAGCTACTAGCTCCTGGCTTCAGATGGGCCCAGCTCCAGCATTGTGGCCATTTGGGGAGTGAACCAGTGGATGGAAGACTTTTCTGTTTTTCCCTCTCATTGTCTGTAACTATACCTCTCAAATAAATAATAAAATCTTAAAAAAAAAAAAGGAAATAATAACTCCTACCCTGTAGAGTTACTGCCGGCATTAAGTGAGACAAAGCAGAGTGTGGCTTTATTTAGGCTTTGGAAATGTGCTTGGAGCACCTTAAAGAGAAAGGGGTCGGAAGCTGGTGCTGTGGCTAGTAAGGCTAAGCCTCTTCCTGCAGCACCAGCATCCCACATGGGCTCCAGTTCGTGTCCTGGCTGCTGTACTTCTGATCTAGCTCTCTGTTAACGGCCTGGGAAAGCAGCAGAGGACTGCTCAAGTGCTTGGCTCCTTGCATCCCTGTGGGAGACCCAGAAGAAGAGGCTGGCTCTTGGCTTTGAATTGGCCCAGCTTTGGCCCTTGCTGCTATTTAGGGAGTGAACCAGCAGGTGGAAGACCTCTCTCTCTGTGTCTCTCCCTCTCTCTGTAACTCTGCCTCTCAAATAAATAAATCTTAAATTGTGTGTGGGGATTACCTGATAAAAGCTAGAACCTACAAGGTATCTGTTACCATGGCAGCTAAAGGGACTAGTGACTAGGTATTAAATGTATTACTCATCTGTGTCTGTGTCTGTGTGAGGTTCTCACAAGTTCTCGGAAAATGTGTGCGAAACAGCTATGCCTGGATTTCACTATTTTGCATCAGAGTACACATTATGAAGATGCATTTTATTTATTTATTTATTTTGACAGGCAGAGGTAGACAGTGAGAGAGAGAGAGACAGAGAGAAAGGTCTTCCTTTCCATTGGTTCACCCCCCAAATGGCTGCTACAGCCGGCGTGCTGTGCCAATCTGAAGGCAGGATCAAGGTGCTTCCTCCTGGTCTCCATGCGGGTGCAGGGCCCAAGCACTTGGGCCATCCTCCACTGCACTCCCGGGCCACAGCAGAGAGCTGGACTGGAAGAGGAGCAACCAGGACAGAACCTGGCGCCCCAACTGGGACTAGAACCCGGTGTGCTGGTGCCACAGGCGGAGGATTAGCCAAGTGAGCTGCAGCACCAGCCTGAAGATGCATATTATGAAAAAACTATGCATGTATCTCAAAATATTTTTTGCACTCAAATAAACTTTTCTTTAAAAAAAAAAAGATTTATTTATTTATCTGGAAAGCCCAGTGAAAGAGAGAAGGGGAGAAACAGAGTGATCTTCCATCTGCTTGTTCATTCCCTACATGCCTACAACCTTTGGGGCTGAAGCCGGGTGCCCAGAACTCCATCTGGGTCTCCAATGTGAGTAGCAGGAACCCAAGTACTTGGACCATCATCCACTATCTTTGCAGGTACATTAACAAGAAGCCGTATTGGAAGCAGAGTGGCCAGGGTTCAAACTGGATGCGGGCAGCCCCAGCAACAACTCAGTTCACTGTGCCACAATCCCTGCGTCTAAACTTAGCTTTTAATTCCATTTTCCATAAACCTTTTGAAGTATCCATGTAATTATGTGCTTCTTTTTTTTATTATTTTTTTGACAGATAGAGTTGGACAGTGAGAGCGAGAGAGAGACAGAGAAAGGTCTTCCTTCTGTTTGTTCACCCCCCCAAATGGCCGCCACAGCCGGAGCTACGCTGATCCGAAGCCAGGAGCCAGGTGCTTCCTCCTGGTCTCCCATGCAGGTGCAGGGGCCCAGGCACTTGGGCCATCCTCCACTGCCTTCCTGGGCCACAGCAGAGAGCTGGACTGGAAGAGGAGCAACCGGGACCAGAACCCGGAGCCCATATGGGATGCCGGCACCGCAGGTAGAGGATTAACCAAGTGAGCCAAGGTGCTGGCCCGTGGTTCTTCTAGTATCTCACTTGTTCATAGCCTGTCCTCTGTATTCTGCTCTCAAGTTTACATCATTCCTGGTTTCTGTTTCACCCTGCATGCCTTCTCACAGCCCCAGCTCTATCTCAGGGCTTCCCTCCACGCTTGTGTTCTGCTTCAGCCCTCACAGGTAACTACTAACTTCATTTCATTTTCCAGTTCACATTACTAGGAGAACCTGTTAGGCTGAACGAATTGACTCACACATTCAGATCACTTATATGGCGTACCTGTGGGAACAGATGGTGTACCCCTGTGGCCCTGTTATACCCTTCCACCCTCATTTGGAAATGCCTCCTGCTGACCCGGCAGCTATTAGCAACGCTGACTTTGGCCCCTTCTCTAGACTTTCTAAATCCAGAACCTGCATTTTCACAAGGTTCCCAGGATAGTTTCTGATTTTCTTGCACATTCAAGTTTGAGAAGCACTGCTGTAAACTTCCGGCTCTCAAAACTGGTCGAAGGGCCTTCACAAAGCTCCTGGGAAATGTTCACTGTGAAAAATGATGCGCGGATTTCCAATTCCTCTTTGCACCAAAATAAACAGATCCTTTAATTTCATTTCTCATGAATTTTTTTGAAGTACTCTTGTAGCTGCGGATTAAGAAATATCAATTCCTAGGTCTTTCCTCCAGAGGTTCACAACTAATTATTCTAGGGAGCAGCCTGGTCCCTAGATGATTCTAGTGTACAGGTGGGTTTGCAGACTTCTGAGCCAGGTCTGTGTTGCCCCTGACCAGCTACGTGAGCCTAGACATTGCTAAGTTCACCTGCAGGTCAGACCTCTGATCTCTCAAGTGAAGATCATTTGGCCTAAGAGGAGCAGCCGGGTCTTGAGCCTGCACCCATATGGGAAGCTGGCACTGCAGGCCGAAGTTTAGCCTTCTGCAGGAAAGCATAGAAGGGGGTTGGGATAGGATTGTAGGCTGCCTAGAGTGTGGTGGAGTGGCTGAAGGTGAATATTGAGCCCTGTGGGCAATGGGCAGCAGCCTGTTTATGTTGTCTTTTGGGAGGGGTCCTGCAGCAGAAGGGCGTGGTAAAGTCCCTTGTCTCAGCAATTTGGAGTGTCCAGGTGAGGGGCTTTCCCACGGAATAGGCAGTCACTGAGCTTTAGGTTATCTGTGCATGGTTTTATCGAGTTTATATCGCATTTTGGGGGTTTGAGGCATCAGTGACCCAAATGCTTCATTGTAATTTAGTGGCTTAATAAGTTCTTTTTTTCTTAAAGTACCAATTTACAGCAATCTCTTGTTCACTCCTCTAAAATATTTATTTATTTATTTGAAAGTCAGAGTTACAAGGAAAGAGAGACACAGAGATCTTCCATCATTGGTTCACTCCCAGGAGCCAGGAGCTTCACTAGGTCTCTCAGGTGGGTGCCAGGGGCCCAAGCGCTTGGGCCATCTTGTGCTGCTATTCCCAGGCCATTAGCAGGGAGCTGGGCGGGAAGTGGAGCAGCCAGGACTCGAACTGACACCCATATTGGATATATAACAGGTTCTAACACCTACCTAATGTTATCAATTTTTATCCATGCCATGGTTAGGTTATCCCAGTTCACCTTTACCAGGGATTACAGAGATTGAGGAACTCTCTCAAGGCCCTGGAGGTTGTTGAAGGTAAATTACCCAGCTGAGCCTTGTTAAAAACTGCAAGGAAGGCCTTATTCAAGACCTTCGTAACAAGGATTAAGACTACTGCAATGGGACAGAGACTGGAGAAATTTATAGCCAGGGGGCAGGATGGACGCGGTGAGGGAGAACTCAGAAAATCACCAAGAGGAAGCGGTGAAGTTTCCATGGCAACAGGGAAGTGGCGCTTGATAACACCAAGTTTGTTTGAAAATCAGCTGAGTGGATTCTTGACCAACCGGCTTAACAGACCAAGGATGAGGCTCGGTCCAGAAGAGGAATCAAAGGAGGTCGCTACAGGTTAGTTACGGAAGCAGGCTTGGTCAAGGAGGAGCTGGGGCTGAAGTTGGGCAGGTCCAAGCCTGCACGGCTCGCTCGTTCGCCCTGCTTCCCCAAAATCCGGGGACATAGTTTGGGGAGGGATTCATCACATCGAGCAGCTATAAAAACTACTGGTTGCATCCCAGCCTCAAATCAGTTCAACCCCAAGTCGAAACATTGGTTACCTTATCTACCCAGCCTGCAGGGCGCACATTTGCCCGGGCAAGAATCCCGCAGCCGGACTCCGGGGGCGGGGCCCGCACGCACCTGCCACGAGCCAATCACAGGCCCGCGCGCAGGGGCGCAAGCGCCACATCCCTGGGTGGGGCCCCATCGTGCTCCAGTCTCCACCGCCCCGCGGGCTTTCTCCAGCTCTGATTGGCCATCTCGGCCTGACGTAGGGGGCCGCCTCGGCCTATGGCTGCGGAGCCGGCCGGCCTGCCGGGTTGGCGGAAGTCGTGTGGGCGAGGTGATCCCGCAGTGCAGGAGCGGCGCGGCTCGGTGCGGGACAGCGGCGGTGGACTGGCTGTGGCTGTTGCTTCTCGTGCCTCCGGCCGCGTGAAGATGACACGCTTCGCCCTGACCGTTGTCCGCCAGTGAGTGTTGCTCTCTCGCACGGGGCCTTTGCCTCCGCCGGTGTCTTCGCTGAGGGTTTCTGGGCTGGTGAAGGGAACCTCGCCGGCAGCGGTTTTCACGGCGCTTGCGTCTGGGTTGTCTCGTCTAACCCTAGCCGCGCCGGGCGAGGAAAGGCAGCCGTGGTGTTTGCCCGGAGCCGCTGATGGAGGCCCCCAGCCCGGTCCTTGGACGGCAGGAGGACAGCCGTGGCCTCGGCGCCGCTGTGGGCCCCGGGGGTCTGGCGATCTGGGTGCTAGCTGCCTCCCGCGGGCCGGCAGCCCCACCGGTGTGAGGCTGAGATTGATTCCCTGCCTCCAGCCTCGGGTTCTGGGAGAGATAAGAGGACCTCAGGCCTTGCAGACTTGAGCACACGCTTTGCCTTCGGGTCACACACAGATGAGCACGCAGCACAGCGTCGTCCGTGCTGTTCCTTCTCAGCACATGTCCACCAGGCGTCCACGCACAGAGTTTTTAAATAAAACAGACCTGGGTGGGATTCGAGGCTGCAGCCTAGGAGCCTGGGCCCCAGAGAACGCAGCTAACCCGACCTTAGGGTCCTGATCCACAGATGAGGTTGATGATAGCTCCTGGGCTCTTGTGCGCATTCGGGGGGGTGGGGTGGGGTGTTGGGTTTTAGGATTTTTAGGGCTGGAAGAGGCTCAGAAAAGACTGGTTGTAGAAAGGACAGCGGAGGGGGCTGGGGACTGGATTGCAGGCCGCCTGGAGAGCTGGTGAGGAGGCTGAAAGTGAATATGGAGTCCGCCTGTTTATGTCATCTCTGGGGAGGGGTCTGTAGCCCAAGGGCGTGGTAGGTCCGGTGCTTAGCAGCGTTTTGTCGCAGTGAGTTTGAATGTCCAGGTGAGGGGCCTTCCTAAGCAACGGCCATTCCGCTAATCTTTGGGCTATCTGTGCCCAGTTGTATCGGGTTTGGGGGCTTTAGGGCACAGCGAGGTTCTAACAGGGAAAGGTGAAGTGTAGGGCACAGCAGAGGGGAATAAATGTACCTGAGGATTCAGTAGCTTCTGCAAGGACAGCCAACAGAAATGCAGTTGGCTTTGAGCCATTTATGTGCAGTGTATCATAGCAGCCTGTTGAGTAGATGCTTTACAGTGTGGCGGTGACCTGGGTTCTACAGACGGGAAGATCAGATTTCTGCCTTCATGGAACACTAATGGGATTTCATCCCTCAGCTGACTTCTAGCTGCTGTCTTTCTGTGTTCTTCCTTCCTCTCTCTCTCTCTCTCTCTTTCTCTCTCTCTCTACCCTTCTCCTCTCTCTCTCTCTCTCTCTATATATATATAAATTTTTTAAAGATTTTTTTTAAAGGTTTATTTATTTATTTGAAAGGTAGAGCTACAGACAGAGGGAGAGACAGAGAGAAAGGTCTTCCATCTGCTCGTTCATTCCCCAACAGTTGGACTGCAACAGCTGGATCTAGGTTGATCCAAAGCCAGGAGCTTCTTCCAGGTCTCCCATACGGGTGCAGGGGCCCGAGGACTTGGGCCGTCTTCCACTGCTTTCCCAGGTCATAGGCAGAAAGCTGGATCAGAAGAGGAGCCTCAGGGACATGAACTGGCACCCATATGGGATGCCAGCGCCCTAGGCAGAGGCTTAGCCTACTATGTCAATAGCACCATAAATTTATATATTTTATTTGAAAGTTACAGAGTGAAGACAGATCTTTCATGCACTGGTTCACTCCCAAATGGTTACATCGATTGGGGCTGGGTCAAGCTGGAGCCAGGAGCTTCTTCCAGGTCTCCCACATGGGTGCAGGGGCCCAAGCACCTGGGCCATCTGCTTTCCCCGCATATTACTGGAGAGCTGGATTGGAAGTGGAACAGCCAGGACTTGAACTGGCGCCCATGTGGGATGCAGGTGCTGCAGGCAGTGGTTTAACCTGCTGTGCCTGTTCTCCTTTATAGGGAGATAATACCAGGACTCTGCCAAAGTTCTTTACAAACCACAGGTTTTCAGTAGCAAAATTGGAAATCCATTTCCACCCTAACTCTTAACTCCTCTCTGTTTTTTGGACTACTTTATGGGGGCAGTGACTCTTGACTGACTTAGGGTCACAGCACAGGGATTCGAATCCCTGTCACCCTTCCCCTGAGGTATGGTATGCTCTCGGGACCTAGCCAGCAGGGTCAGATTTACCTTTTTTTTTTTTTTTTAAACAGAAAAGTTTTTTTTTTAATAAATTTCAAAAGTACAACTTTTGGATTATAGCGGTTCTTCTCCCCATAACCACCCTCCCACCCACAAACCACCCCATCTCCTACTCCCTCCCATCCCATTCCTCATTAAGATTCATTTTTAATTAGCTTTATATACTGTATACTGAGTAATCTATACTGAGTATATACTCTATACTGAGTAAAGATTTCCACAGTTTGCACCCATACAGACACACAAAGTATAAAGGTCCTGTTTGAAGACTGGTTTTACCATTCTCATAGTACAACACATCAAGGACAGAGGTCCTACATGGGGAGCAGGTGCACAGTGACTCCCGTTGTTGATTTAACAATTGACACTCTTATTTATGACATTAGTTATCACCTGAGGCTCTTGTCGTGAGCTGCCAAGGCTATGGAGGCCTCTTGAGTGCACAAACTCTGACCTTATTTAGACAGGGCCATAATTAAAGTGGAAATTCAGATTTGTCTTTGAAACTTAAGAGTTATGGGACATCTGGATGAAGGCACGGTATTCAGAGTCTTAATAGAGGACAGTTGTGTGCATGTGAATTTCATTCCTTCCTTGCTGTTTAGAAAGAGCTTAATTTGGAGGCCCTCAGGAAACATTTAAAGAACACAGTTTAAATAAATGGTTACATGTCAGGCACTTGTGTAACAAATCCCCCTTACCCCATATGCAGTATATCAGTGATAAGACCTACTACCCTGCATGTGAGGTGAGGAAGTTGACTCAGGCCCTCTAACTTGCTTAAGGTCCTGTGGCTAGTGGGGAAGAACATAGAATTTGCTTTTTTAATTTTACATCAGTTTTTAACAGATTCAATATGCTTATAGATAAATTTTTTTTAAGATTTTTTTATTTATTTGACAGGTAGAGTTATAGACAGTGAGAGAGAGACAGAAAGGTCTTCCTTCCGTTGGTTCACCTCCCAAATGGCCGCTACGGCCAGCGCGCTGCGCCGATCTGAAGCCAGGAGCCAGGTGCTTCCTCCTGGTCTCCCATGCGGGCGCAGGGCCCAAGGACTTGGGCCATCCTCCACTGCCCTCCCGGCCACAGCAGAGAGCTGGACTGGAAGAGGGGCAACTGGGACAGAATCCGGTGCCCAAACTGGGACTAGAACCCAGGGTGCTGGCGCCGCAAGGCGGAGGATTAGCCTAGTGAGCCACAGCACCGACCACCTACAGCTGTATCTTAATTGTTACATTACTGTGATGTTTGTTGTCTGGGGATGAGGTTGATCAATTGGTGAGAGCCTTTGGGACTAGGGCTAATCTATATATAAACTAAAGTATATCATAAGCTGGGTATCTTACAAGTTTATTTTTTTCCTTTCAAATCATCGAGAGTGCAAGTTTCTATATTACTAGCTGTTAATCTGTATTCACAAGTGAATTAATTGGTGTAGAGGAATAAGGATTAAACTACATTCATGAGGAGCCAGTGCTGTGGCCTAGCGAATAAAGCCACTGCTTGCAGTGCTGGCACCCCTTATAGAAACTGGTTCGAGTCCTGGCTGCTCCACTTCCCATCCAGCTCTCTGCTATGGCCTGGAAAAGCAGTAGAAGATGGCCCAAGTCCTTGGGCCCTGCACCCTCAAGGGAGACCCAGAGGAAGCTCCTGACTCCTGGCTTTGGATTAGCCTAGCTCTGGCTGTTGTAGCCACCTGAGGGGGAGTGAACCCAGTGAACTAAAGACCTTCCTCTTTTTTTCTCTCTCCCTGCCTCTGCCTCTGTAGCTCTCTGCCTTTCAAATAAATAAATCAGTCTTTAAAAAAATACTGATCAATTTATAAAAAAAAACTATATTCATGATTAAGTATCAAGTGAGGCTTCACGTTTCTGTTTATAGTAAATCCTATGTGCTTTGTAAATGTCCCCCAAATGCACACTCATTTTTCATTAATGTCTTGGGACAAAACAAATTGCTTTTGAATTTGGATTCTGTAGAAAGATGTAATGGGGGAATTAAGTTTTTTGTATGATTTTCTTTAAAAAAAAAGCCACAGAATGTGAGTCAGGACTAACAAAATATCCTTGCAGTGGAGAGCAGTGGGTCACTGGCAGCATGAAAGATGCACGTTTGCAGGCCTATAAATGGCCGCTCACAAGACTTCACTTCTTGGCAACCGCATTTGGATTCCTGCAGAGCTGGTGTTCTGTTTTGGAAATGGATCTCACTGCAGAGTTTGAAAAGGAGTGGAGTTACTCCTGACCCCTTCAGAATATATCCTCTGACCTTTCAGCTTGCCCTACCTCGTCTGCCGCTTTCCTAGCCGAATTTGGGTTGAGAGAGGTAGATTACTAGGAAAGCTGTGTTAGCCATCTACTCTCCCACTTCAGAACAAACTAACTTTAAACACTTGCTTCAAGAATTTATATAACCCTCTCGATCAAGCCGATCAAAGCTATAAAACAAGAGATGGGGGTTTGGGAGAAAAACTCAGTTTTGGGACTTCTGCTTTGTTATATTTATAAAGTGGTTTGAAGGCAAAAATGCCTACTAAGCTAAATGTGGATGCCAGTGGTTAATGATGTTATGTCTGCACCAGCCCTCTCCTGACTAAAGCTAAATGGCTTCTAGATATTCTTCATTGTCACAGCTATTTTTCTCCTTTCACTAAAAATTGTTGGATGGTGGAGCAGAGCCTTTACAAAGCCATCAATTTACTGGGATTTTAGCTTTGATAAGGTGACATTTTGAGAGTATGGTAGTTCATTTTAATTTGAGTCTTTCATCACATCGGCTATTGAGATTAAATTAATATCTTGAGAGCTGGTAAGGGTGCAAAAGGTGACCATCTCTGCTGAATTTGCATGATTTTATAGACGTGAACTTTTTTGGTGGTGCTTGAATGATTGTTTTGGGTGAAAAAATGTAAAATTTCTCCTCATCCTTGATTTTAAGCTTAAGGACTATATGCTGCTTTGGCTCCTGCTAGAAGTTGGTTGGCTACACAGGCGCTGTGTTGAGAGCGTGTAGCAGTTCTTTTACCCTTGGTTCTTTTCAGTGTTTCTTTGTACAGATCCAAATATTTATCATTTCCCTCCTTGCAAAAGAGGTGGCATCCTATACTTTTTTTTTTTTTTTTTTTTGACAGGCAGAGTGGACAGTGAGAGAGAGAGACAGAGAGAAAGGTCTTCCTTTGCCATTGGTTCACCCTCCAATGGCCGCCGCGGCCAGCGCACTGCGGCCGGCGCACCGCGCTGATCCGATGGCAGGAGCCAGGTACTTATCCTGGTCTCCCATGGTGTGCAGGGCCCAAGCACTTGGGCCATCCTCCACTGCACTCCCTGGCCACAGCAGAGAGCTGGCCTGGAAGAGGGGCAACCGGGACAGAATCCGGCGCCCCAACCGGGACTAGAACCCGGTGTGCTGGCGCCACAAGGTGGAGGATTAGCCTAGTGAGCCGCGGCACCGGCCGGCATCCTATACTTTCATATTATATTCTACTCTATTATTCTGCACTTTTTTCTACTTAATCATGTATCTCTAGTGTTTCTGTATCTATACTTAGGATCTCTTTTTAAAGGACAATTACAGGGCTGGTGTTGTGGTGTAGCAGGTAAAGCTGCTGCCTATGACACCGGCGTCCCATATGGGCACCTGTTCACGTCCCAGCTGCTCCACTTCCGATCCAGCTCCCTGCTAGTGTGCCTGTGAAAGCAGCAGAGGATGGCCCAAGTGTTTGGGCCTCTGTTAGCCATGTGGGAGATGCTGCTGTCAATCCTGTAAGGTTTTTATCATTGTACTTTTAAACTGGTGCTTCACCTCAAAGCAGAGGCGTGATTGTCCTCCACTGTCATCAGGAAGCACAAGTTAAAATCATGGTGAGGTGACCTGTTCAGGTACGGATGGGCACAGATGGAAAGCTCGTGTGTTGCTGACTGAGGGGCAGGCATTTGGTGCATTTACTGCAGGGTGCTGTAAATTGGTACAGCCTCTTGGGCATTACCTAATAAAGTGGGCATCTGCATGCCCTGTAACTGAAGTGCCAGGTGTTCTTGCACATCCCTAGGTGTGGGGCAGCAAGCCTTGTAAGCACAGAAGGATGGGAGTGCAGTTCCCCCGACTCCATCCTGCTCGCCCCAGACAATTGCTCTACTGCAGCTCTGCCCCGCCATCCGGTCTGGCCTGTGACTTCCCTTCCCTCCTCCTCCTTCCAGTCTCAGTTACCCCAGCGACTTTGTGATAAGGTTTCGACTTCTTTCCACTTGTTTGGGTGCTTCAGGGTTGTTAGGGTTTATTTTTGTTCCTTTAATTCTCGAAGTACAGTACCCAAACCTCAGTTCCTGGTGCGTTTGGCCAGGAAGATGACACTGCTAACTCCTAGGGGCCAGGAGAAGGTAGGGCTTTGGAAGGTCTGTGCTGTTTGTTCCCATTCCATTCGGATGCCCTTGCACTTGCTTATTCAGTCCAATAACAAGTACTGATGTTTTGGCCCTGTTGCACGTTCACGTAGTTGGAGTTTTAAAAAATCATTTATTTATTTGAAAGGCAGGGAGAGAGAGGTCTTCCATTCCCTGGTTTACTCCCCCAGATGCCCACAACAGCTGGGTGAGGCCAGGCTGAAGCCAGGAGACAGATTCAGTCCAGGTCTTCCCCATGGGCGGGAGCTTCTGCATTCGCAGGAAGCCGGATGGGAAACAGCTCTGAGACCAAGCCCAGAGACTCCACTATAGACCTGGGCCAAATGCCTGTTCCTGAAAGTAGTTTTGATCAATATGTTTATTTTTAGCAATATTATTTAGAAAAAATATTTTTTAAAAAATAGAATTTTCTACCTGCAATTTGCTTAAAGATTAATTCCTAAACTGTACAGTTTGGGACACTTTGAGATTCCTACCTCAATGTTATTAGTTTAGAATAAACTGTATTTCTATGTGTTAGATTATGAGCTATGTTACAAGATTCATGATATAGGGGCTGGCACTGTGGCATAGCAGCTTAAGCTGCCACCTGCAGAATTGGCATCTCATGGGCACTGGTTTGAGTCCTGGTTGCTCCACTTCTGATCCAGCTCCCTACTAATGCACCAGGGAAAGCAGGGAAAGATCCAGGTGGTTGGACCCCTACACCCGCAAGGGAGACTCAGAGAAAGCTCCAGGCTCCTGGCTTTGGCCTGGCCCAGCCCTGACTATTGTAAGTGTAAGTGTGATATAAAAAAAGTATCTTTATGAATATCATTACCCTTCATTGCTTACTTTTTTTCTGACCTCTCAAAAGCAACATAACTTGGTAATAAAGTTTTTCTCCTTTTTCTGTTTTAGTGGCGAGACAAGATTTAACAAACAGAAAATACTTCAAGGTTGGTATAATCTGATTGTGACTTTAGATTTGTCCTGTGGTATTAATGAGATCTGTGAGTTAATCAGATTTGGTGAGTGTGTCGGGGGTAGGGGAGGTTGCTGAGGGCAGCTCTAGACTGGGATGGAATTGAATTCAGATGCGAGAATGAACGCCTTCTATCCGCGGAGCTGGGCCCAGAGCAGCTCGGACCGGAGGAGCGGAGCTCGTGATGGAGCTGGTGTGAGAATGGCTCTCCAGCTTGCTCTTTCCACGCCTTCCCAGCACCCGGTCAGCTGATGAGAGGGAGCTATATTTGGTGTAGATGTCTTAAAATACGACTGTCTGGGTTTAAGAGGATTTCATATTTGGAAACATGTAGCCTACTGACTGGCACTAACAGTGTTTTTCTGCTAAGATAAGGTATTTTAATTTTAGTAGAAACAAAGGAGAGGTTTAAAAAGAGCTATTCTTGCACATGGTTATTATTGGAGTCTGGAGAGATTCTCCCTCCTTGTTCTGTTAATCCTGACTTAGATCTTTTAATTGCCCTATGATCCAGCTAGTCTGGCTTTTTATATCTTATCACTATATTCCTAAAGTTGTACTTATGAAATGCATGAAGCTTGTATTCCTTAAATAAAAGGATTCTTTTGGGAAAAATAAAAGAGGAATAAAAAAAGGCTATCTTGGGCGCTCAATCAGCTAGACACACTATTTCTGTGCTGTGATTAGAGAAACATCTAGGTTTGTTGTTGTTGTTGTTGTTGTTTTGTTTGTTTTGTTTTTTTAACATTTGGGATTCTGGGGTTTGCAGATACTGGTTTTCGTGCCCAGTGGGCCTGACTCCCTTTCTTGGAGACTCAAATGGGGACACTTGAATGAACCTTTGTTTTTCCCATGGCCTGCACCCCACCCATGCCCTCCATCAGACCCTGTGGCCTGCCACCTCCCTTAGCACCTCCCATTTGTCTTCCTTCATTAGAAGCTAGCTGACAGTGAAATATGAATATGAATTTTCAGGTTTTGTGTCTTTTCCTGACTTTGTAAGTTGGATGCTTAGTTCTTTAAGTTTTTTGAAGAGTTCAAGTTTCATATATTTCTAAGTACCATTTTTTTTTTTTAAGATTTATTTATTTGAAAGAGTAGTAGAGAGGTAGAGACGGAGAGAGAGGTCTTCCATCTGCTGGTTCACTCCCCAGATGGCTGCGACGGCTGGAGCTGCGCCAATCCAAAGCCAGGAACCAGGAGCTTCTTCCAAGTCTCCCAAGTGGGTGCAGGGGCCCAAGGACTTGGGCCATCTTCTACTGCTTTCCCAGGCCATAGCAGAGAGCTGGATTGGAAGTGGAGCAGCCAGGACTAGAACCTGTGCCCATATGGGATGCCGGTGCTTCAGGCCAGGGCGTTAACCTGCTGCGCCACAGCGCTGGCCCCTCTAAGTACCATTTTGATTTCCTACCCGCACTTTGATATACGGTGATTCTGTAGGCATTCAGCACTAACTATTTTAAATTTCTCTTATGAATTCTTCCTTGACCCATGTGTTCAAAATCTTTAGATTTCCTAATGAATGGGCCTTTTATGTTTGTTTATAATCTTTTGTAGTTGACTTCCCATTGAATTGCTTTGGGTTCCAAAGATATGGTTTAGCTGATAATGCTTCTTTGGCATTTTTTTTCTCAGAAACTATTTACTTAAGGAATACAAACTTCATACATCTCATAATTACATCTTTGACATTTAAAAAAATTTTATTTAAGGTATACAAGTTTCATATATTTCATATACAGATTTACGATTGACATTTGTTAATGTAGTTCTTATTCTTATAATTCATCTACTGTATACTTGAGAAAAATCTGTGCTCTCCAACAGTTGGGGTTAGAGTTACATACCAGTCAATCTTGACTATTTTTCAAATCTTCTAAGCTTTACTAGTTTGCAAATCTACTAATTTGCCTACCTGACCTAGATAATTTATGAGTGAAGTGTGTTCAACTTCCCACTGCAATGGCCAGGTTATCCTTTCCGAGAGCTTCCCGCCCTCTTTCTGCCATGTGACTGTACAAAGGGAAGTTGGCAGTCTGCACGCTGTAGGGGGGCCCTCACCAGAGCTCAGGCTGGCCAGCGTCCTGATCTTGGCCGTCCCCCAGCCTTGGGAACTTGATTGTTTATGAGCCACCATTGCCAATCTGTGATCCTTTGTTACAGCAGGCGCACTAGGAGTTCTTCTCCCCTAGCAGGCACACAGGCCTGCTAGGAGTTCTTCTCCCCTTCACATCTCTAGTATTTCTAAGATGTGGCCCATCTCTTTTCATCTGTGCTGTTCTCTGGGTGACATCGTCAATCCTGCCTTTGAGTTCTTTAAGCCCCCTTTTCAGCAGTCTCTCCTAACCATTGTGGGATTCCCTGCCTGTCCTCAGCAATTCTACTTGTCCTTACTAAAATGACCTATTTGGTTCTTTTAGAGAGCTGGTTGTTTTTTGAAATTTCCTGCTAATTGCTTGCTTTTGTGATTCTATCTTCATTTTTCATTCAAGGTTATTTTGGCCCCTGTTGGCTGCTTGAATCGTCTGTAGTCTTAATAATTCCAAATGTGTTACTTGTTGTTTCTGCTTCTTTATGGGTGATTTTCTACTGAAGGAACTACTGTTCTTTTGCAGTTAGTGGATTAGCCTTTGTTGAGAGTGATTTGCTCTGGGGAGGATTAGCTTTTGCCTTTTTTTTTTTTTTAAGATTTATTTATTTACTTGAAAGTTAGAGTTACACAGGGAGAGAAGGAGAGGTAGAGAGAGAGGTCTTCATCCACTGGTTCACTCTCCAGTTGGCTGCAACAGCCAGAGCTGTGCAGATCCGAAGCCAGAAGCCAGGAACTTCTTCTGGGTCTCTCATGCGGGTGCATGAGGACTTGGGCCATCTTCTGTTGTTTTTCCAGGTTATAGCAGAGAACTGGATAGGAAATGGAGCAGCCGGGTCTCGAACTAGCACCTATATGAGATGCTGGCACTGCAGGCAGCTGCTTTACCCATTACACCACAGCGCCCGTCCCATAGCATTTGCTTTTACCCTGGCCTGGGACTGTGTTTGCCTCCCTGCAGAGACCCTACTTCCAGGAATGTTGCATTCCCGTTTCTGTGTCTCCCCCCTTGCTGCCCTGTGCAGCAGCCTCTGCCCTCACCCCACAGCTGGTGCTCTTAGCGCGGCAGCTCCATCTCTTCTCAGGTCGGTTTCCTGCTGTGCCTGGTCCCTTGGAGATGGTCCCTGTACATCCCAGCCGTGCAAAACACACCACGTTCAGTGCTTTTGTAGTACGAGGGCTCTTCCAAGTGTCTGCTGAGCCTTCCTCAGGGAAAGAGAGGTTCCAAAGCATTTTATTTTATTTATTTTTAAATAAGAACAAGAAAGGGAGGGCAGAAGGAAAAAAGAAAAGTGATACTGTTAGAATACTGAATAGCTGGACAGTGGACATAAAGATGGGGCAACTTGTAGGTGCTAGTCCTGCCACCCTGGCACAGCACCTGGCAGCTCAGAGCCAATGTTAGAAAATACAGCTGAGGAGGAGGTGGGCAAATGCAAGGGAGGGGACACCTCTCATCATCATCCCACTTCCATTAGGCAAACATTCTTTAGGAAACCATTTGCATACCTCAGCTTTTAGAGAATTGTAAGCTGATTTTATAGTATTTTCTCTCAGCTGTGTGAAAGCACTCCAGGAAACCTTTCCGTTAAATGCAGATGGACTCGCTGTGTGTTCTCTTATATGTGATTTAATTTGCATCTCTTATTATGTACATTGTTGAGTGTTGTCATTCCTTCTTGTAAACACCACAGGACAAGGAGTAGATGAACCGCTTTCAGAAACTGGATTTAAACAAGCAGCCGCCGCTGGTGTCTTTCTGCATAATGTGAGGTTTTCACATGCTTTCTCCAGCGACCTCACGAGGACAAAACAGGTAAGTTCAGGGTCTTGGGCCACAGGTCAGGAGTCTCAACAGTTGTGTAAGCTTGAAAAATCTGTCAGAGTCTGTAAGGAATTAAGTAACACACAGCCATTACCTCCTACCTCCCAACCCCCCAAAACAACTCATGCCATTTAAAAAATTTTTACTTTATATATTTTTGGGAGGTTCATTTTAAAATTAGAGTCCATTAGGGAAATATCTAAGAATACAAATACAGTGTCATGAGAAAGTGCACCAGCAGAAACAACAGGCAGGAGAATTTAACCCAAAAATATAGCCCATACTAGAATGACTGGATGTAGTAAAAAACCATGTTAGAAAAATCCTCAGGGCACAGACTGCTATAAAAATGATGCCAGAAATTTTACAAAGAACCAAACCAACCTGTGCAAGCTCAATGACACGAGATTTTTGTGACTCACCACGACTGGGTGATAGGGGTAGAATTTTACCCAGCAAACATGAGCAAATATGTGAAACAGCTGTTGCCAGGCTTTGGGCATCTGGCTGTGTGGGCCTGGGTTGGCGGAATGAAGTAGGACCAGGTGAGTCCGGGGTTTGTCCTGGTTTTTGCAGCTGAACCAGTTCCTATCCTCTGGTAGGGGAAGCCAGACAAAGCTCAGTAGTCTCAGTGAGTGGAGGAGACAAAGCCTCTTGGAGCTTTGGGAGGTTAACAGCCGAGCTGGTTGAGCAGGGTCCTGGAAGAGAGCTGGAAAGGGACAGCTCTAGAAGTGTGTAGGGATCCCCTTCAATCCTCGGCAACCTAGTCTTGTGCACATGCGTTGGGGGAGCTGCATGAGTCCAGACACAGCGGCCCCTCAGGGGAGGGAACAGTCAATGCGGCACTATAAGCAGAGTGATTTCAGAGCTCACTGGACTTCCCGTCAGCCAAACAGGAGAGATTTAGTTGAGTACCTAGAGCATATGGTATAGATTCCAGAGGAATCACACCTTAGTAGTGAGGAGAAACTAACCATGGAGGAAAATAATTAGAGAAATAGAATATACCAAAAAAAAAATCTTTTTAAAGAACCAAATTGACCTAGAGATGAAAAACAGTATTCTGAAATGAAAATTTCACAATATGGGACCAATAGACTAGATACTATGGAAGAAGAGGTCAGTGAATATGAAGACATAGCAGCAGAATATTTGAAAATTAACTGGGGAAGAAAAGGAGGAAAAACCAAGTCTCAGGGAAATATGGGGCAGTATCAATGTACTGTATGTGTAGTTGGAGTCCCAAAAGGAAAATGGGGGAGTGGGCACAAGGATGAGTATGGAGATATAAAAAGTATTTTCTTTCATGTAAAAGTTAAGGTACCAAAAATAGACCCAATCAATTGTTTTGTTTTAGTTTTTGTTGTCAGTTGAGTTTTGGTGGCGATGCCAAGGTAATTCAGTGGAGAAAGAGTAGCCTTTGATATCTGTGGTGAAACAATGGGATTACCATGTGGAAAAACATGAACTGTGAATCTTCTCCCCATATACAAAAACTGCCTTGAAATTGAATAAATCTAAAAGCTAAGTATATAAAATTTATATGAGAAAATGCTGGAGAAAAATCTACAACCTTGTATTGACCAAAGAGTTCTTAGAGGATGAACTGTAAAAGAAAAATTTGATATTAGATTTTAACTGATTGAAATTTTCAGTTTTTTAAAGGTAAATTTAAAAAAGTTTTGAAATCCAGGCATAATTTTTACATGATACACATTTCTGAACTTTTTGAAGACCACATTATGCATAAATTTTTTCATTAAAATACTCTTAGATATCTTTTGATTCCATTTTCCCCACAGTGTTCTCATGTAATATATATGTTGTGTGTGTGTGTGTATCTGACAAAGTGTATAAATTCTTTGAATTTTGTATTTGGACAAATATCTACTTTAAAATGGGCTGAAGGTTAGAATTTGATCAGGTACGTCCCACGAGAAGGTGACTCGAAGGCCAGTAAACATGAACAGATGCTCAGCATCACTGGTTGTCATGGAAATGGAAATTAAGATCACAATGAGATGCTACTGTACATTTGAATGACTAATACTAAGTCACAAGACTGTAGATCAGTTGGAAGTCAGACATTGCTGATGCAATTGTAAAGTGAACCAAGTACTTTGGAAAATTATTGGACAGATCCAAATATACTTACATTATCATGAAGCAAGTTTAAACCCAAAAGTTTATCCAAGAGAAATAAGAACATATATCCACTTAAACACTTGCAGACAGTTGTTTCGTAGAAGCTTCCTTGTAAAAAAAAAAAAAAGAGTAGAAACAAACCATGTGTTTATTGGTAGATGAGTGGACACATGAATTGTGGTACATATGTGCAATGGAATACAACTCTGCAGATTAAGACTGAGCTAGTGATTTCCATGATTAAGGAGAAAAAAATCATCACTAAAGACCAAGAGTTAGGCTGTCAGCAAAATTCCATATTGATAGCGATTCTTTTCATATGCTAAGAGATGAGAAGGATCAGCCTAGAGTTTTGTACCCAGCAAAATGAAGACTTTTCAGACAAGCAGACCATAAAGTAAACTTTCAAAGGATAATTGGAAGGGAAGGAAAATAGCTTCCAGAAAGATCTGAGTTTCAGAAAAGGTGGTGAGCAAAACAGTTGGTGAATATAATAGGTTAATACAAAGAAATGTGGAAACGTGGAGCAGGCATTTGGCCTAGTGGTTAAGCCTCATCAGAATGCCTGGGTTTGTTACCTGGCCCCAGCTACTGACTCCAGCTTCCTGTTAACTGTACAACACAGAGAAGCAGCAGTTATGGCTCAAGAAGTTGGGTTCCTGCCACCCACACTGAGACTGGATCGAGTTCCTGGCTCCCGGCTTTGGCTCCAGCCCCGCCCCCGCCACTGTGGGCATTTGGGAAGTGAACCAGCAGATGGAAGTGCACTCACTCTCTCCCTCTCTCTGTACTCTGTCTCTCAAATAAACAAAAACAAATTTTGTAAAAGATTTATTTATTTGAGAGACAGAGTTACAGAGAGTGGTAGAGGCAGATTTTCAATCCTTGGTTCACTCCCCAAATGGCTGCAACTGACAGGGTGGGGCCTGGTCAAGGTAGGAGCCAGAAAACTCCTTCCAGGTCTCCAATGTGGGTAGCAGAGGTCCAACCTTGGGCCATCCTCTGCTGCTTTCCAGGCACATTAGCAAGGAGCTGGATTGGAAGTGGAGCAGCGGGGACGTGAATTGGTGTGCCATAGGTGGTGGCTTAACCCACTATACCACAACGCTGGCCCCAATAAATAAAAATCATCTCAGTAGTGATAATCTGTAGAGGGTATGCAGAAAAAAGGCAGATTGTGGACTAAATTTTTGCAGTTTTGCAAATATAGTGTCTTTTGTCAAAAGCACTAAGACGTATGATGAGAGAAGGAAACATAAGAATGAGCACATAAGAAAAGAGGGGTGCTGTTTGGCCTAGTGGATAACATGCTAGTTAAAACATTTGCATCCCACATTGGAGTACCTGGGTTTGATTCCTGGTTCCAACTGCTGACTCCAGCTTCCCTGTTTTTCTGCCTCCCAACTGGATAAATAAAAATTAAAAACAACAACAGAGTCACAGCAGTTACCTGGTAACTAGTCCCCAGACTTTAACTTAAATATTTTGGGGCCAGCATTGTGGCAGAGCAGGTTAAGCCATTGCCTGTGATGCTGGCATTCCATATGGGCACCAGTTTGAGTACCTCTGCTGCTCCACTTCCAACTCAGCTACCTGCAAATGCACCTGGGAAGGCAGTGGAGGATGGCCCCCAAGTGCTTGGGCCCCTGTACCCACATGGGAGACCTAGAAGGAGTTCCAAACTCCTGGCTTCAGCCTTCCACAGCCTTGGCTGTTGTGCCTATTTAGGGAGTGAACCAGCAGGTTGAAGATTCCTCTAACTCTGCCTTTGAAATAAAGAAATAATTCTTTTTTAAAAAATTACCATTTTATGCATAGGTGAAAGATGACATTGAGGATTTCAATAGAGAACTGTAAAAAATAATCAGGAATCAAATGCTAGTTCTAGAACTGAAAATCATATTGAAATTAATGCCCAGTAGGTGGGTTTAACAGAAGTTTAGACAGATTTGAGTGGAGGATGAAGAAACAAGCTTTTTTCTGTGAAGAGCCAGATAGTAATTATTTTAGGTTTTCTGGTTCATGTGGTCTCTCTCACGGCTGTCCAGCTCTGTTGCCGAGTACCAGAGCAGCATGGGCAACACCTAAATGAATGGTGTGGCTGTGTTCTGATAAGAGTTTATTTACAAAAGCAGGGGTGGTCTGCATTTGGTCTGTAGGTTAGAAGAAAATGTCAACATCAGGCATAAAGGGACCAATGGAGGCAGCTTCTACAAAGGAAAGTGACTGCCAAAGCTGGTGTGTACTGTACTAACATTTCAGCGAGAATGGCGATCACTCTTGTAAGAAATGAAACTTGTTTTTAAAATTTTTAGACTATGCATGGTATTTTGGAGAAAAGCAAATTTTGCAAAGACATGACAGTAAAGTATGATTCAAGACTTCGGGAAAGGGTAAGTGACTTTTTTTACAAATTGTTCTTCACCCCAAACTATCAGTTAGTCTCCCCCATTTGTCATGTGACTGAAACTTAAATGTAATTCCATCGGGGATTGGGAGATGGCTAGCTAGCATATGCTACAATGCTACTTTGTGACCCATTGTTCCATACTCTCGTATGTTGTAGTGCCTTAATTATTAATGAAGTTATTGAAATAAACATCTTCGAGTATAAAGGAAGGGACACTCAAATGAACTTTGAGTTGAAAAGTGAAAAGTTCTCACTTCGCAATCCTCCCCGACTTACAGCACACATGGTTTTCTCGTGCCCACTTCCTTCACCAGATATGAGTCTCCCAGAGGCCATGGTTTACCCAGAGCCATGGAGCAGTGTCAGAGGTTTGAGCCCCGGTCCTTCCTAGAGCAGTATGTTCTCTGCTGTACCCAGCTGTAGGCTTACCAGTTCCCCTGCCAGCTCTCTGATGACTCCTGCAGCTAGGTGAAATGCCACACAACGCCTAGGGCATTTCTGAAGGATTGCTGTGCTCGGCTTTTGTGTGGTCTCTGGCATAGTTCAAACTGTATGCAAGTGTTTCAGCTTAGATTTCTTACCTGAGTTGCGTGCTCCCACAGCACGCTGTCTGCTCTTTATCTGTGTGTGTGCCCCGTCGCTCATTCCAGCTCAGCACTGCGCACCTGCTGCTTTACCCACTGGTTCTCGCGCTGTGCAGTCTATTGTCGCTTTGTCAGTTGTACCTCTACATAGCGCTCAGAGCTGCTCCATTCTCTGTAAACCCACTGCTGCCATGCCAGTGTCGTCCTTCACCTCCACTGAAGCCGTGATTCTCCTGTTTTCTCTCTTGCTCCCTCTTGTCCCGTCTGCTCATCACACTGCAGTTAGCGCCATCTTTGGGAAGTGCAGTTGTTACACCTGGTATAAAGCAGTTTACTAGTTCTCTTCTACTGCAAGAGGTTGTGAAACACTCCCCTACCTCTCACCCCCTTTATAAAAAGATTTATTTATTAGAAAGGCAGAGTATTAGGGAGAAAGAGAGAGAGAGTCTGTCTTCTAGTGTTCTCTCCAAGTGTCCAGTTGCATTTGGCTGGGCCAGGCTGAAGCCAGGAGCCAGGGACCCCACCCATGTCTTGCACATGGATGACAGGGACCCAAGTACTGGGGCCTCCACCTGATGATGGTGGCAAAGTCTTTGGTCATCCTCAGGGCAAACCCCACCTGCTGACTTGTCTCCTTAAGTACTTCCTTATACAAGTGATCCATGTTCATTGTAGGGAGTTAAAAGAGAACAATGTAGAAAAAAGTGCAGCCGGCATTTCTACTGTGCACGCATAAGCGCTGTGAGCATTTTGGCATGAGCGTTCCTGACGTTTTTCCGTGTTTGGCTGGCTGGCTGGCTGCCCGTCCATCTATCTGTGTGTGTGCACTTTTCTGAAGAAAATCACACTGTCTGTACTGCTTTTAAGCCAGCCTTTCTCATTTACTGTATAATGATTGTTTTTCAGTCTTGTAAATTGTGTTGATATGATTACCTAATTAGTGGCTCGGTGTTCTTCTAGTCTATGGATATTTTGAAAGTTATGCAACCAGCTACTGCTGACAGCCACATATTAAATGAATTTTTGATGTAAATAATAAACTAATAAACATCTATTTAAATTGTGTCTGTATTAAATATTTTTTCACGTGTCATACAGTTTTTTTTAAATTAATTTTTCTTTTGACAGAGTGGACGGTGACAGAGAGAGAAAGGTCTTCCTTTGCCGTTGGTTCACCCTCCAATGGCTGCCAAGGCCAGCGCACTGCGGCCGGTGCACTGCACTGATCTGATGGCAGGAGCCAGGTGCTTCTCCTGGTCTCCCATGGGGTGCAGGGCCCAAGCACTTGGGCCATCCTCCACTGCCCTCCCGGGCCACAGCAGAGAGCTGGCCTGGAAGAGGGGCAACCGGGACAGAATCCGGCGCCCCAACCGGGACTAGAACCCGGTGTGCCGGCGCCGCAAGGCGGAGGATTAGCCTAGTGAGCTGCGGCGCCGGCCTGGCATACAATTTTAGATGCAGGCATTATTAGTGTGCATTTTCTTTTGCCTTTTTTTTTTTTTTTTTAAGATTTATTTCATATGAAGGGCCGAGTGACAGAGGGAGAGACAAAAGAAAGAAATTTTTTGTCCTTTGTTTACTCCCCAAATGACCGCAATGGTGGGGGCGGCTAGGGTGTCGAGGGCCCAAGTCCTTAGGCTGTCTTCTGCTTTCTCGCGCACATTGGCAGGGTCCTGGCAGCTGGATCACAATTGGAGAGCCAGGACTTGAACCAGCGATGGTATGGAATGCTGGTGTTGCGGGCTGTGCAGCTCAGCCCGCTGCACCTCAGTGCTGACCCTAAGTGTGCATTTTCTTCAGGCTTTTATGCGTATCGCTACATTGCCTTCCAGAAAGCGCCCATTCATCCGTCTTCTCAGGAACGACCCAGGAGAGAGTGTGTGTTTTACACCAACACCCGATGCTCATTAGGCTCTTTGCCCTTCCCTTCTAAGAGCTGACGCATGTCGTCATTGTAATTTTCACATTATGGATTCTTAGGGCAGTAGATTTCCCATGTTTCTTGGCTGTATTTCTCTTGTGACTTACGTGTCCTTGGCTCGGGCTTGCTCTTGATGAACCTGGGAAGTTAATGAGCTTTGAAGGCACACAGATCTGGGCTTGAAGTCTAACCTTGCTGATTATTGGCTGTGAATCTGCAGATTGCTTCACTTCTCTGGAACTCAGCGTCATCACCTGTAAATACGGAGGTGTATTTAGGTGGTATGCGTGGTAGAGCTGGGTGTGTGAGGTGGTCTCTAGGCCCACAGTCCGGGTACTTTGCCAGTGCAGTCCCACCATCCACTTAAATTACCTTCAGTAAGTTCTTCCATACAGACTACTCGGAGCATGCAGCTCAAGACATACACCTTGTCTTCTAGGGTTAAAGCCCTTCAGAGCGTACGTTCCCATGAACAGTTCAGAGAGAAGGAAACTAAACTTATTCCTGGGGTGTTTTTCCAAATTTGCCATGAACATGCACTTAATTGTTGCGTTGCAAATCCATTCGAGGCACCTTTATCTGTTGGCCCATTGCAGAAATATGGGGTTGCAGAAGGCAAGGCACTCAGCGAGCTCCGGGCCATGGCCAAAGCAGCTGGGGAAGAATGCCCTGTATTCACACCGCCCGGAGGCGAGACGTTAGATGAGGTATGTAGGCCAATGGCAGGAGGGCCAAATCTCACTTATTCTGTAAATTAGCTGTTTGTGAATTATGGCTAAGCAGCTTGAGAGTTGCTTGGTTCATAAAGCACGGTGCTGTATCTTTTTTTTTTTTTTTGCATTTTAAAGTTATCCTGAATTTCTCATTCACAGGTAAGTTGTCAGTCATTACTGATAATGGATTTAAGGAAATGTGTCATTAGGTGGTACTCGGAAGAAATGGGTGAAGCTGCCACCTACGGCACCGGCATTCTGTGTAGACACCAGTCCGTGTCCCAGCTGCTCCTTCGGATCCAGCTCCCTGCTGATGATCTGGGAAAAGCAGCCAAGGATGGGCCAGGTGCTTGGGCCCCTGCCACTCATATTGGAGGCCAGGATGAAGATCCTGGATCCTGGATCCTGGATCCTGACTCTGGCCTAGCCCGGTCAATGCTGGCCGTTGCAGCCTGCTGAGGAGTGAGCCAACAGATGGATATCTCTATCTCTCTCTAACTGACTTTCAAAATAAATAAATCTTTTTTTTTAAGTAAATGAAAAAGTCCTTGAATGTGAAGCAGTGCCATGAGCAGCAGCAGGGGTAGCCAGCAAAGCGACTGTAGTCATGTTCAAGGACGGAGTGGACGAATCACTCAAGAAGCAAAGCGATTCAAAACTGGAACTTAATAAGAGCAAGATCTGTAGTTCTCGTTCCAACTGAACAGAGTGCCAGCTCAAATTTCCTGGCCAGCACTACTTATGGGTTTTTGGATGCTTATAGATTTCCCTGCCTGGACCCGGAGTGCTTTGGAGTCGGGAATTAGAAGCTGTTTCCCACTTGCCTTTGTGCCCAGTGTGCTCATGGAAATAAGATGGAGTGATTAGAAATAGAAGTCAAGACTTGTCTGTGTGTGTGGTTCTCAGGTTGACAGATTAGAGAAACATCAGTTATGTTCATATTTTCGGGAAGTCATTAATGTCACTTGATTTCACCTTGTATTTCTCTCCTTCTAGGTGAAAATGCGTGGGAAAGACTTCTTTGAATTTCTTTGTCAGCTCATCCTGAAAGAAGCAGGTCAAAGAGAACAGTTTCCCCGAGGAGCTCCCAGCAACTGTCTGGAAAGTTCTTTGGCAGAGATCTTTCCTTTAGGAGAAAGCTGTGGCTCCGAATTTAATTCAGGATTAGCGGCCAGCGTCTTAGTTGTGAGTCACGGCGCCTACATGAGAAGCCTGTTTGGTTATTTTCTGACTGACCTCAAATGTTCCTTACCAGCGACTCTGAGCAAATCCGAACTCATGTCAGTCAGTCCCAACACGGGGCTCAGTCTCTTTATCGTAGGCTTTGAGGAGGGAGGAGAAGCGAAGCCGACAGTGCAGTGTGTCTGTATGAACCTTCAGGACCATCTCAATGGAGCGACTGCGACCCACTAAGTTTGAGTCTCCATCGCAGTCTCACGATTTTGAGCTTCTGAAGGGAGTGCCTTTGGCTGTATTTCTTTCTTTCTTTTCTTTTCTTTTCTTTTTTTTTTTTTTCTGTCCTTTGCTAGTGCTGATTTGCAAAGGGTTAAGAAGCAGGCTCCGGGGGATCATAGCCACACAAGACAGTGATGGAAAACCATGTTGAAGTGGCTCCTTCTGTATGAGTCCTTTGGCATTTTCCCAGCCTGCTCAGTTACATCTCTACATGTAACTTGCGATTGCAAATTGGGGAATTAATAACTGTATTCTATATTCCCACCCTCCCTTTTTTTTTTTTTTTTTATCTTGACATTTTTCTTTAACATCTGAAGAAGTCCAGCCCATTTTATTGACTCTTGGAAAGATACTCTATGTTTTTTACTACTACATCCAGTGTTTGGAACAAAGAACTATTTATAATTCCCACTGTGTATTTATAGTGACTATGCATTATATCAAAAGTCCTTTCAATGAAATATCTACCATCGTGAGTTTATGTAAAGTGAAATGAGAAAGTAACACTGAAACACTTTATGTAGAGGTGAATTGTTGGAATGTTTTATTCTGGCGGGCTCAAAATGTGGGTGCTGATGGTTGTGGAACGCCTGGGGGAAGAAGTTAAAACGTCATTCAATTTAAAGCACGCTAACAAAGCACGCTGAGCAGGAGATGCAAGAACAACTTAGTCTGAATGGTGTCTTGGACAAGGCAAGTCTCTGGAAACCAGGAAAGCCAGAACGAAAAGGAGAAAGAAAAATGTTTGACTTCGAGGTTGGAGAAAAATACCCACCTCTTGCTTTTCTCAGGCTCTAAAGAAAGCAAACGGTTAACAATACACTACAGGAAACCTCAGGATAAAGTAGGGAGCACTGTCCTGAGAGGAGTGGTGGTCTCATAACCATAAGTGATTTTTGGTGGAAGCCACAGATGCCGTGACTGCTTCCTCCACCAGGGGGCACTGGCGGAAAGGGATTTTGTGCAGTCCTTCAGAAACCCCTGTGCAAATGGAGAGAATGTTGTCCATGTGGTTTCTTTAAGCCACCAGGTGGATGAATGCCGTGAGTCTCAGCTAATAAGAGGAACGATACTAGAGATGTCGGTTAAGGCAGAAACGATGTGTGACCAACATGTGCTTTGAGCGTCTTTAAATCATACGTGAAGTTCAGGATTGTTTTCTCAGTGTCCAGTGCTGCCAGTTCCTCTGCCAGTGTCAGAACACGGCGTGCATTTGAGCAGAGGAAGGACACTACATCACTTGAAAAGATAACTGAAAAGGACAGAGGATCCACTTTCCCACATGCAGAAGCAAATCACTTCTTTGTTTAAAGAAATAAGATTAAGATGTAAGTAGAGTTCCCTCTAGCCAGGTGTCACAGTCTTGTGCCCGCAGAGGCAGCTGGTACAGTGGGTCTGAGTGTGTTCATCTGTTCTGCCTTCTCGCCTCACGTCTGTAAGGAAACAGTATTTTCTGATGCTTTAAAAAAAAAAAAAGTACACTAAATATCAGGATGTCTGTATGCTTTATTATGTCTTGGTATTCTCTGTTGATTATGTGTAAATTAGTTCATGATAGCCACTGCATTCTGTGGAATAAATACAAAAAAATTTTGTTTATTGCTGGGTTTCTGGGTTTATTTATTACTTTCCTATAAAAATAAGCTACAGGGAATTGTCATTTGCATGACTCCTTGTGCTGGTCATAAGGTATGGATTGACGCTATGGTGTAGTAGGCTAAGCCCCAGCCTGCAGTGCTGGCATCCCATATGGGCGCCGGTTCGTGTCCTTGCTGCACTTCTTCCGATCCAGCTCTCTGCTATGGCCTGGGAAAGCAGTAGAAGATGGTCCAAGTCCTTGGGCCCCTGCACCCATGTGGGAGACCTGGAGGAAGCTCTTGGCTTTGGATCCACCTGGTTGTGGTCATTTGGGGAGCGAACCAGCGGATGGAAGACCTTTCTGTTTCGCCCTCTCTGTAACTCTGCCTTTCAAATAAATAAATAAATCTTTTAAAAAACGGATCTCCAGGTTCTACAAAAGCCAGGTGGCTCTTCAGAATGGCCATACTGACTGGCAGCACTCAGAATTCTACTGAATTATTTTTTGAGAGCCATGTGAGAGATGGGTGTCTTAGTGTTGGACTAAGTGCCTTCATGTAGAATTCCTGTTTCCTAAATCCTTGTCAGCCCTTGATGCTGTGTAAAATTTGCTAATCTAATGAGTGAAAATTGCCTTCTTTTAATAAGCTTTTCCATGACTGCTAATCAGCAAACTCCCCACCCCGCATTTGTATACTGATGATCCGATCTCACTGGTGAGTCATTGGTACATACTTTTGGCCTGATGTTCTCTTTGAGTGTCTGGCTTTTTCTTAGTAGCAGGAGTAATTTGACCATTCTGGGTAGGAGTCCTGCCTCTGATACACACATTGCAAATATCTCCCAGTGTGTTGCTGCTCTCTTACATTTGTTTATGATGCATACTTTTCATATATGTTAGTGATTTGTAAGTGTAAGTGTAAAGTGATTTGATTGTCTTTTGTCGGGTTTTTCTGGTTTAGGTGGTTTTTTTTTTTTTTTTTTTTTTTTTTTTTTTTTTTTTTTTTTTTAAGATTTATTTATTTGAAAGGCAGAGTTACAGAAAGAAAAGGAGGGAGAGAGATCTCCCATCTGCTGGTTCACTTACCAAATGGCCACAATGGCCAGGGGTGGGCCTGGCCAAAGCCAGGAGCCTGGAACTCCATCCAGGTCTCCCATGTGGGCCCAGGCATCTGCTGCTGTTTTCCCAGGTGCATTAGCAGGGAGCTGGATCAGAGGTGGAGCAGCTGGGACTCCAAACAGCGCTCCCTGGGGAAGCTGACATCAGTGGTGTCTTACCCTTCTGCACTACAACTCCTGGCCCCTGGTGTATCTTTTTTTTTTTTTCTTTTAGAAAGCTTTCATTTAATAAATATAAATTTATATAAATTTCATAGATACAGCTTTTGGAATATAGCAGTTCTTCATACCCTACCGCCACTCCTGTCCCACCTCCTACTCCTCTTACATTCCATTCTTCATTAAGATTAATTTTTAATTATATACAAAAGATCAATGCTATACTAAGTAAAAGATTTCAACAGTTTGCACCCACACAAACACACAAAGTATAAAGTATTGTTTGAAGACTAGTTTTACCGTTAATTCACATAGTACAACACATTAAGGACAGAGGTCCTCCATGGGGAGCAAGTGCACAGTGACTCCTGTTGTTGATTTAACAATTGACATTCTTATTTATGATGTCAGTGATCACCCGAGGCTCTTGTCATGAGCTGCCAAGGCTATGGAAGCCTTTTGAGTTCACAAACTGACATTATTTAGACAGGGCCATAATCAAAGTGGAAGTTCTCCCCTCCCTTCAGAGAAAGTTACCTCCTTTGATGGTCCCTTCTTTCCACTGGGATCTCACAGAGATCTTTCATCTAGGCCATTTTTTGCCACTTGTCTTGGCTTTCCATGCCTTAAATGCTCTCATGGGTTGATTCTGAGGCCAGAGTGCTGTTTAGGGTGTTTGTCATTCTATGAGTCTGCTGTGTAGCCTGCTTCCCATGTTGGATCATTCCTTTTTTAATTCTATCTATTATTGGCAGACACTTGATTTTATTTATGTGATCCCATTGACACTTATTCCTCTCTTTATGATCAGTTATGCACTTAAAATAATTACTTTAACTAGTAAGATGGCATTGGTACCAGCCAACTTAATGGGATTTGGAGTCCCATGGCAAGTTTTTAGCTTTACCCTTAGGGGTAAGTCTGAGGGAACGTGTGCCAAACTGTACATCTCCCTCTCTTATTCCCACTCTTATTTTTAATAGGGATCAATTTTCAATTGGATTTAAACACCTAAGAGTAATTCCGTGTAAAGTAATGAGTTCAACCAATGGTATTTTTTATCAAGGTGCCCTGCTTTTTTTTTTTTTTTTTAAATTTAATTTGAAAGAGTTACACAGAGAAAGGAGAGGCAGAAAGAGTGAGAGAAATCTTCCATCCACTGGTTTACTCCCCAACTGGCCACAACGGCCAGAACTGTGCCAATCCAAAGCCAGGAGCCAGGATCCTCCTCTGGGTCTCCCACATGGGTGCAGGGGCCCAAGGACTTGGGCCATCCTCCACTGCCTTCCCAGGCCATACCAGAGAGCTAGATTGGAAGTGGAGCAGCTGGGTCTCGAACCGGCACCCATATGGGATGCCAGTGCTTCAGGCCTTGGCATTAACTTGCTGTGCCACAGCGGCGGTCCCCAACCAGTGGTATTAAGTAGGAAAAAATAGTAAAAGGAATAAAATAGTAAACTGTTCCTTGATAGTACAAGGGCTGATCAAGTCATTGCTTCTCATAGTGTCAATTTCACTTCTACAAGTTTCCTTTTAGGTGCTCAGTTGTCACAGATCAGGGAGAACATATGATATTTGTCCCTTTGGGACTGACTTATTTCACTCAGCATGATGTTTTCCATATTCCTCCATTTTGTTACAGATTACTGAATTTCATATTTTTTTACCACTGTGTAGTATTCCACAGAGTACGTATTCCATAGAGTACATGTCCCATAATTTCTTTATCCAGTTTTCCATTGACAGGCATTTAGGTCAATTCCATGTCTTAGCTATTGTGAATTGAGTTGCAATAAACATGGAGGTGTAGATAGCTCTTTTATTTGCCAATTTAATTTCCTTGGGTAAATTCTGAGGAGTGGGATGGCTGGGTCATATGGTAGGTCTATATTCAGATTTCTGAGGTATCTCCATACTGTCTTCCATAGTGGCTTTCCTAGTTTGTGTTCCCACCAACAGTGGATTAGTGTGCCTTTTTCCCCACATCCTCGCCAGCATTTGTTGTTGATTTCTGTATGAAAGCAAGCCATTCTAACCAGGGTGAGGTGAAACCTCATTGTGGTTTTGATTTGCATTTCCCTGATGCCTAGTGATCCTGAACATTTTTTCATGTGCCTGTTGGCCATTTGGATTTCCTCTTTTGAAAAATGCCTATTGAGGTCCTTGGCCCATCTCTTAAGTGGGTTGTTTGTTTTGTTGTTGTGGAGTTTCTTGATCTCATTGTAGATTCTGGTTATTAATCCTTTATCAGTTGCATAGTTTGCAAATATTTTTTCCCATTCTGTTGGTTACCTCTTCACTTTCCTGTTTCTTTTGCAGTACAGAAACTTCTCAATTTGATGCAATCTCATTTGTTAATTTTGGCTTTGACTGCCTGCACCTCCAGGGTCTTTTCCAGGAAGTCTTTTCCTGTGCCTATATCTTGCAGGGTTTCTCCAATGTTCTCTAATAATTTGATGGTGTCAGGTCATAGATTTAGATCTTTAATCCATGTTGAGTGGATTTTTGTGTAAGGTGTAAGGTGTAAGGTATAAGGTAGGGGTCTTGCTTCATACTTCTGCATGTGGAAATCCAGTTTTCCCAGCACCGTTTATTGAATAGACTGTTCTTGCTCCAGGAATTGGTTTTCGATCCTTGATCAAATATAAGTTGGCTGTAGATGTTTGATTGATTTCTGGTGTTCCTATTCTGTTCCCTTGGTCTATTCATACGTGTTTGTACCAGTACCAGGCTGTTTTGATTACAACTGCCCTGTAGTATGTTCTGAAATCTGGTATTATGATGCCTTGAGTTTTGTTTTTGTTGTACAAGATTGCTTTAGCAATTCAAGGTCTCCTGTGCCTCCATGTGAATTTCAGCATCATTTTTTCCAGATCTGAGAAGAATGTCTTTGGTATTTTGATTGGTATCACATTGAATCTATAAATTGCTTTTGGGAGAATGGACATTTTGATGCTATTGATTCTTCCAATCCGTGAGCATGGAAGATTTTTCCATTTTTTGGTATCCTCTTCTATTTCTTTCTTTAAGATTTTGTAATTCTCATCGTAGAGATCTTTGACATCCTTGGTTAAGTTTATTCCAAGGTATTTGATTGTTTTTGTAGCTATTGTGAATGGGATTGATCTTAGCAGTTCTTTCTCAGCCAAGGCACTGCCTGTGTATATAAAGGCTGTTGATTTTTGTGCATTGATTTTATATCCTGCTGCTTTACCAAACTCTGCTATGAGTTCCTGGTGTATCTTTAAGAAGCCTTCTGTACCATGAGATCCTATATTAATCTCCCTTTTTCTTAACACTTTAGTGGATTTTTGAAAGTTTTTTGCAGTTAAGGTAAAAATTCAATGGTATGGTTTTACTGTGGGTAGTAGTTACCCCCATACCATTGTGAGGAGTCTACTTTGTGAAGGCTCTGATTCTGTGCGGTGTATGCTGGGGTCTGTGTGTGGGCTGTGTCCTGTTTCACTGAACTCCGTGTGTGTTTTCTCAATGTAAATTTTATTACTGATCAGTTTCTGGAAAGCTTCTGTGGCACATTTTCTTGGGATCGCATTCATGTTTTTAATCTAGTATCCAATAAATATGTTTGAGTGTTGCACACTCATTGGGTATTATTAACTATTACAACTGTTGCAGTCACTGCAGAACTACAAAGTCACCATGCTTGTGGGACTTCTGGAAAGGGGTGGGTGAGGAGAGAAGATTGGGGGTGGGGTGCAGCTCTTGGGAGGGTGAGCAGGGAG